CGGGGTATTATTCCTCTAATTTAACGCAAAATGAAATATGGGTGTTAAAATACAAATATATGCAGATTTGATGGCCACAGTTTAAAAAATAAAATATATGTGCTACAACTAACAGAGAAGTTTTCCTTCCATCCATATCATAAAATATTGACATGAATTAAGTTGTTCAATATTATTCAGTCATTATCGTGTATCAATCAATTTCTTACTTTTGATCAGTTAAGGGGGCCACCATTCAATGAATTGTACTTTTCAAGTCTTTTTATGTCAAAGTCTGCATATAAGTGTCGATTTGTGATTTGCAAATTGTTTTAGAACTTTCCGCCGTTCAGTTGTTGTGCTCTGGAACACCCTACAAAGCCACAAGATGGTGGCAAAGCTAATATAAAAGTAGTGCTTTGGCCACATGTGGTGTCTTGTTACGAAGAAACGATGTCTAAGTCATTGAATAATGAGCTTCTCTGAGATCAGCCAACACCCTGGCTAATATTAAAGTAGCGCTTGGCATCATTTTTTGGCCAGTAGATAATTATAAACTTTTTGGAGTTGGCGCATCAAGTATTCATGTTTTTATTTAAATTCCACCGTGGCTAAAATTGTGCTGCCATCATTGTCTTCTAAGTTTTAATGAGTTTAAAAGATAAGGTTTGTGTGAAAGACATTAAAACGTTAAAAATATTAACAAGTAAGGAAGTTGAATGATTTTGACGTACCCCAAGATTGATCCAGAAGTCACTTAACAGCCATGGCTCACCTTGGTGACACTCCCTGCAGTTGGAATGATGAGGCGGGTGAAGAGTTGAACTTGAAGCAGGTAATTGCGAAACTTCTTCTGAATGTGCCCCTGAACCCTTGGAGGAAGGAGGGGGCTCCATTCACTGTGGCCTGGCAGTTCAGCGTAAAGAGTCAAGGAGTAAATGTGGTGCACGGAAGAGGTAGTTGAGGGTCACCCAGTGTACCACATGATCAACTTCGCAAGATTTCAGAATGCTCACACAAAAAGAAAATTGCTTCTTTTAAAAGACAGATGATTTGGCTGTGTGATTTGTTGATTGTGGAACTGCATGGTATCCAGAGGAGACAAAAGTCACCATCTGCAAGAGTTCTGGAAAGAAAGGCGGCACGATAAAAGATTCAATCACAATGTTGAGTTTTGTCTAATGGGTGCCCAACTGCTCAACATGGTCTAAATTTTTCAAACTGGAGAGCCAACAGGGTAACCGTGTCACGTGGTTTCCTATTGACCCACCAGTTGTCTTAGGCTCGGCAAAGCTTCCCTAAATTTCACTGAGTCTGCGGAATCCATGGTGGTTGGTTTATTCTGAACCGAACTGAACAATGCTTTGGATTCCTGGAATGCAGGCTCAGACAAAGTGCGACGACAAAAATTTTCATGACAGGAAAGCACACCAACCAAGTACAAACCGAAATCGCTGGTCTCAAAGAGCCAGGAAAAAACCAACGCAGAAAACAAAAAGCGCTAGCAAAATGGAACAACGAAAATACAAAGTTTGATGACAAAATAGGTACAGATGACGACTGACAGAACCCTTTCTACGAGGTCTGCAATACAAAACTTGAAGCACAACAGCAATCAAGGTCAATAATCTGACAAGAGACGAGGCAGTTTGGCAGTCCTTAAATACATGGCATGATGGGTAAATGCGGAAAAGGTGAGCCTGCTGGAGGGAAACGCCCTTCACTCCAGCTGAGGCTGAAAACAAAACAAACACACGGGCGTGCCAATCACTGTGTGTGCGTGTGTGCATGTGTGTGTGTGTGTGTGTGTGTGTGTGTGCCTGTGAAGCTGCAAAATCATTTAAATTGGGTAAAGAAGGTAGAAATGTGTGATTCTGATCTCTACCAAATTTCTCTGTCAGAAAAAGACCCCGACCAGCCGCCTTGCAATTTCACAGTGATTGGAGAATGAGTGAAAAAAAGAGGGAGAGTGAGTGGGGACTGCGAAAAGAGGTGGTGGTGGTGGGGTGAGGGTGGGTTGGGGGAGGGGGGGGCTCTAAATGAAATATGGAGACAGATAGAGGTTAGAGGCAGACACAGCTTCAGGAAATAGACTTACTACACTATGTACAATGTAATATAGGGTTAATTTTGTCTGTAGTTGAGCTGTGGAACTGTCAGATGGGTCTTACATGCTCAACATCATGTTGCCCTTGAGCATCATCATCATCATCATCATCTAGCGTTTTGGCGCATCGACGAAGCAAGTGCTCGGAACAGTAAATGGTTTTGCTATTGGAGAAGGTTCCAACATCGAGTAGAGAAATAGCGAGCAAAGTAAAAGAAATCAACAGTGACATCAAAAAGAAAGAAAAAAGACTATTTTCTTGTGAGGGAGGGAGTGTGTGAGAGGGGGACAGAGAGGGAGTGTGTGAGAGGGAGGGAGGGAGGGTTGGGGGAGGGGGGGCTCTAAATGAAATATGGAGACAGATAGAGGTTAGAGGCAGACACAGCTTCAGGAAATAGACTTACTACACTATGTACAATGTAATATAGGGTTAATTTTGTCTGTAGTTGAGCTGTGGAACTGTCAGATGGGTCTTACATGCTCAACATCATGTGGCCCTTGAGCATCATCATCATCATCATCATCATCTAGCGTTTTGGCGCATCGACGAAGCAAGTGCTCGGAACAGTAAATGGTTTTGCTATTGGAGAAGGTTCCAACATCGAGTAGAGAAATAGCGAGCAAAGTAAAAGAAATCAACAGTGACATCAAAAAGAAAGAAAAAAGACTATTTTCTCAAAATCTTGTTGTGATTAGTTGCATGACCAAAGAAAGAAACCGTCACATTAACGTATAGTTAATCACTATTTGTTTGTTTGTTAGGGGGTTTTGGGGGAGTGGGGGGGGGACACAAAAAAATCAATTTCACTGATTCCTCAAAATCACGACTATCAAGTTTGATGCATAAAACTATGTTATGCATTCCGCAGAAGCATTTGGCATCAGGTTTTTTTTTCAATTCAATTAAAACATGTCTTTTTGTAAAAAAAAAAAAAAAAAAGAAGCTCATGCTTTTTTTTTATTTATTTAATCAGGTTGTACAGATCACATTCATGGTGTAAAAAGTTTTGAAATAATGGATGTAGGTCTCATTTTATTTTTTATACCACCTGTAACTTGGCATTTGAACAGGGGTGGGTAGACTTTAATCTCACTGTAACTACCATCACCAAAGTATTAGCTTTAATACAATATAATGTATGGCCTACAGTACTTTCTTTATTACAACCGACAATGACATTAGGCATCGTGCCGCAGTGAACTGACGATCTAGATTTTAATAAATTCCTCATTCCCTCTCGCTTCCTTTTCATCCTCATCCTCGCGTTCTTGCGCAGAGTGGACGACTCTTCATTGTCTGATTTATTTCGTAAAGATCACATGCACTCATTCAGGCCCCTGTGCATCTCTGGAACTCACTTTTCATCAGTGTCATCATCAGAATAATTGTCCCCGCAACTCAAATGACCGTATGTGCATTTAAATATGTGGATGTGTGCGCTGCCACAAAAAGGTTTGTCATGTCATTGTTTGACCACCACTGTTTTAATTAGAACAGACCCGTGCGTGCGCGCGCACGTGTCAAAACCGCATGAACGTCTGTGCATGTTGCAATGGTGCCCCCACACGGAAGATTGGAGGATGACATGTTTTCTGAAATCTTACAACACACTCAAACTGATATTGGCTCACACCCACGCACACACACACCCTCACCAATGACACGGTGTTATATTTGGAAACACAATTTCATGCTATCAGTCCTGGCAAGCTATTCCATTTAGATAGCTGCCGTCTGTCTGTATATCCGCGTGTGCGTGCGCCTGTGCGTGTGTGCGTGTTCCCTCCTCTTGCATCTGTTTGCATGCTACCGACGGTGCCGCCAGTGTGTTTCCTAAAGTTTTTTTTTTTTTGTTTGTTTGTTTGTCATTTATGAAAATCGGTCGCCATGGCAACGTGTGATTCCAGGTAACTCGGTGATTAAAAATGTGCAAATTAATTTAAAAAAGTCAGGAAACTGATCCCATAGCAGATGATCAGTGAAACATCAAAATGATTCCAATCTCCGAGGCTCACGCACAAACACACACGCGCACATATTGACTCATTTGCATTCAATGCCAGTCTGCTTTTTTTTTCTTATCTTTTGGCGTTTTTGCACACAGCGTTCAAATCAACACATTTCACAGTGTTGTTTACCGGACTCCTATTACGACCACCAACAAGAAAACAAAACCCAGTTGGTTGATTGTAACCTTGGCTGTAGTTCATTAATTCTATCAAACCATTTCCTGTTCCGAGACACAGCAAAACGCAATCTCTCATCTTTTATTAGCAGCATGCAGCCAAGCCACAAACAGATTCCACTCCTGCACCTTTCTCATCCTGCTCGTCAGTTGCTCTCTTCTCAACAATTGTAATGAAGCACAAATCTCATCAGCCATCTTTTCATCAGCGATACCTTCACTTCTCCCTGAGCTTGAGCAGCAGCTTTTACACCGACCATCCTTTTGCACAGCAGCCTCCTTTCACTGACTGATGACCAGCAGATAAGGCCCAGACCACTACAGCCACAACATTAGGAAGACCTGCAAACTAATGGGACTCAATGATAATAATGCTAGTAATGATAATAAATAAAACGGGAGCTAATTACTCAGGACTGTTAAGCTCGTAAACTAAAAGAAAAAAAATCGGGTGGGGGTTGTGCTAATGTCAATGCTCTTTGGCTTATCAGCGCTATCCTTGTGCAGGAACACAGACAAATGCTAAAGAAAAAAAATGCCAGTTTTGATAACAGGCACGATTTAAACGTAGCCTCATTTCCGTATCTCCTCTTCCTCTCCAATCTGTAGCTGCTATGTTGTTAGCATGACTTTTTCAAAATGGAGTTTTATTATAACGCCTAAATGCTATCAGTTTGAAGTTGCGAATGCAGAAATGTTGCCAATGCTGAATTTTTTTTAATAACCACAGCTGCATGAGATACCTTAATGGTTTGCTTCTGTTTGCTAGTTTTATGCCCAGTTGGTAGCAAACCGGGGATGGGAAATTTCTACATGTGAATATTCCACCATGGTTTCAGCAAGGCTGCTGGAGCCTAAAATAACATGTCAACACCATGCCCACTGTGAGTGTGCCTGCAAATGATTGACACCTCGTCAGTCACTCTTTCTACCTCTGATAGGTAGTTCTTTTTTGGGTGTTTTGGTTTCTTAAAAATCCAACTCGAGGTAAAAAAATGGGCCAGAGAAGTCTGATTTTCTTTCACAGACCATGTCACTTATGTATTACTGTCCGGTTATACTGGTACTGTACACAGGTTGGGTGTAATTCTGCTTGCTGTCTCTGTCATACTTGTTTTGATTTAATGATTTGAAAATGAATGAGTGAATGAGTGAATGCATGAATTGTTTTGCAGCATTCATTCAGTTGACGCTGAGCATTATGATCTTTGAAAGAACCCAGTTTCTGAAAAAGCTCTTGCATCGGATCTCATTAAATTTAGACTGAACAAAGAGTGCCCTTGAGATTGTGTCCCGCATATTCTCAGATGTCAAACTTCAAGTCAGTACGTCTTTTGAAGGTGCTGCTCCAGAGTGCTCATTTAGTGACCGCCAGCTCAATATCACACTCTGCTTAAGGTGTGCGGTAAACTGTATTTGCAGATGACAGGTTTGAACAGGTAAGTGTTTCTTAAGCCTTTCTTCCACTGCCCGCGTTAACATGTCCTCGGGTGAATGGTGAAGCGAGGTCATGACAAAGCGTAAAAATGCATCTTCTTAGGTGAAGCAGAGGCAACCAGCTCACGGTGACACATTGAAGACAAAGCTATGCATCAACCTCCCGAGATGCTCCATGTATAAAACATGTCTGGTGATTGTGAGTGCAAGCCAAGCGATTGATCGCATGCACAGTCTACCCTCCCTGGGAACAATGTGGAGCCAGCGTGCCTTCACAGGGGGCTACGACTGGACTTGGCCCATCTTCAAAGTAGTGGTCAGAAGGTATGTGAGGGGCGGATGTTAGGAAATTAGGAAATTGCATGATATGAAAGAATATTGCGTTGGAAACCTTTTGACGTAAGTGTGAATTGGACTGTTTGCAATTTGAATCAAAACAGGAATGCTTTTATTCAAGTTCCAGTTTTATTCTGGTTGTGATGAATTAAATCATGCTGTGACATTATTTTTTTTAGGGGGGTTGAGGGCGTTGAATCTTTTTTTTTTCTAATTCGAAAAACCCCACGCAAGCTCTATTTTCAATGTTCTTATTTTCTAAATTATCACCCAAAGTAAATTGTTTTTTCATTACAGACTTTCCAACTCTCTAATTAATATCACAGAATTCACTCTGTTTAATTTTGAGAAAATGTTTCGAATAGAAATGAGCACATTTGCCAATGTGTTTGTGATTTTTATTTTTTTTTTAAAACACCCTTCGGGTAGGGGTGGGACTCTTCACTCCTCTTCCAGGTGCTGCCCTGGGAGGAGAGGGGCTTGGAGCCGAGGGGGCCGGCTGGGTCACCGTTTGAGGCATTTCAATGGGCAGCTTGGGAGGGATAATTGTTTTAGCTGTCACGGTAGGATTTGCCTCTGGGATTTTCTCACCTTGGCGGTACACGCAGACCTGAAGAGTGGAGAAAAAAAAATTGGTGAGCAAAAAAAAAAAAAGTTTCATTTTCAAGCTTGCAGGTTCAAACAAGATTACATAATATATATCGCAGCTCTAAATCACAAAATATCCCATCATTTGGCTCCAATGCAAAAAGATCTGCTAAATCCAGTGATTTGCACTCCAGTAATACCCACCACAATATCCACGGATTCCCCTCCGTATTTGTTCTGAACAATCATGGAATATTTGCCTGAATCCTCCATGGAAACGCCTCTGATTGTCAGACTGGCAAACTTGCCCTGGTCCAGAGAGATCTCATACTGAAACAAGGAAACAAATGTTGGCAGTGACAACTCGAGATCTTTATTCTGCACCTCAAAAAAACAAACAAAACAATAAAGTTGAACTGGATTTCTAGTGGTATTCATACATAGTGCAGATGGAGAACATGGATTCCAACCCACGACCGCCGTACTAGCTAGCTAGCTAGCTAGCTAGCTAGATAGATAGATAGATAGATAGATAGATAGATAGATAGATTCTGTGTGGATTTTCAAACTTAGAATCATAACTGCTTTAGACAACATGCAATGACTTTCTGGATCTATCCTATGTACTGAAGAAATGTATTTTCCTCTTTGTTTTCCCCTGTGCTTGGCTTCAAAAGTCTTGGTGGTAGCTGTGTTGAGGGGAGGTACCCCTGAGGGTTTGGCAGACATCACCAAGGACATCAGTGCTTGTTTTAGATGCATTGTTCTCAGGTAAGGGAATGAATAAAGAAGAGGGCAAACTTTCAAAACATACATTCCTCCCAGACCTTCTTTGCCGTTTCTTTAAATTAAATCTTCAAAGGCGTCAGGAGCCACTGGGAAGCTGACAATGTAGAAAGAACCTTTACTGGGAAGACTCATTAGTTGTACAGTATACTGGATGACTTAAGCAATGGTGGGTTTATTTTTGTTTTGTTTGAACAGGCTTACATTGTTGACCTCACCAGCAAGTATACTGTGGAGCCTGAAATGTATTCACTTCTGATTGTTTTTCCACATCTTGTCTTGAAATTATACAGCCAGAGTGTGCTTGAAGATATAAAAACATGATTGTCACAGCCGATGTGAAAACGAAGAGCCCATAATAATAATATCTTCACGACAACAGACAGCAAACTAGTGTTTGAGTTGTTCAACAGACCGACACAAGGGCAAAGGAAGATGCTACTTTCATGGTTGACAGGCAGTGCATGGAAGTGGAAGTCCTGCTCATTTATTAGTTTACCTGATCATCACGCTGAACCTCTACTCCGTTCTTTAGCCAGGAGACTTGAGGTTTGGGATCCCCACACACTGTGCACGTCAAACTCAGCGTCTAGTGGCATACACATGAGGCTTTATGATCGTAATCTGACTAACACACTCAAACTGCGTTCACACCACACCCGAATGCCACCGTCCCACACACTCAAACGTTACCTTCTTTTCCATAATTGTGACGACGTCAGGCAGACCTCCAATCACCTTACCGCGGTCTGTAATAAAACATGACTCATTGAGTAAACAGCTTTATTGTGTAAAAGACAGCACTTGAGCTGAAAGAAAAGATGCCCACTCACTCTTTTCAGCATACGCCAAAGCCCTAAAAACAAAAAGCAGAAAGTTTTAGGCTCTTGATTTTACTTCAAGACAACACAAATGTCTCCAAATAAAATTGAACAGCAAAACAATCCAAACTAGCTAAATTTCAGTTGCTGCAGAGATTAGAATTCATTGAATGACAGACGACACAATCGAGTCAACGGAATGAGGTCATTCCTAATTTCCTATTTAGTTTTATTAGGTCAAAGCATTACTCAAGTCCAAGCAACAACACAATACAATTTCAACAAATATCTGATTCAATATGGCAAGATTAAAGTTCAGAATAATGGGTATTGTATATGCCTCTTGTCGGGTCAACTACTGATCAAAATTTTGTAAATGATTGTAAAACTTCAACGTCCTTTTGTAGAAAAGGAGTCCTCGTGATTTTGTGCGGCCGAGGTCAAGTGACAACGTTGAGATTTTTGTTCGCCACTGGCTGTAACTTTCAACCAATGAGCCAAAATGGCAACCAGGGATAACCCAGATTCTTTTTAGTTTTAGTTTAGTTTAGTTTTAATGCACAGCATGTTTGCATGCATGTTTGCACTGAGGATAAAGAGGAAGAAATTTCATCTATGCTGCATGTCATACATAAAGCATATTTGACAATAAAGATGATCTTGACCTTGACCTTTTTATTCCAGAAAGTAAAAGTTGGTTCCATTTCGTTCCTAATCATGGCTATTGGCCAAATTAAATTATCCTCTACAAGCTTGGGTGAGAAACATCGCTCAGATGGATCGCCACGGGATATTTTAGTCAAACAGCCAAACCACAATTAGAATGTGCTTTTCTCTGATATTTAAATGGAAAGCTGTTTTTCTTTTGGTCATAATTGGAAGAGGCCAATTAGTGCGACAGGCTGGGTGAGAGGTCAGCCTCACAACCAGATGGCTCTGCTCTCCATGTCCCATCTTGACACTCAATAAGCGGCCAGCAGGGTGGCACTTGCTCCAGCGGGCAGGTAAAACCTTGTGCTTGAACGCCCATCATTGAATGTGAATTAGAAAAGGGATTTGGTTTGTTTCCATTGTGCTTTCGGTGATTATTGTTTTTTGCGACATTTGATTTTTCTTAATGGATGTTAAAAATAGAGCGTGTGTCAAGCTGTTGCTTGAATCTTTCGAGGTTATTTTTGAATAAAGCTCAATGATCAATCAAACACAAATTGGTAAAGCACATGATGTATTTACAGTGTTATTTTGTTGCTAGACAGTCATCTTGTCACCCCCTACAGGCAAACAGAAGACATGCGTATATGTCAGAATAGCTACATGCACCGTGTGTAGCATGACCAAAAACAGTCTACACTCCATTCCATTTCCTACATTTTTGTTGAATTCATTACCATTTGGTTGTCATTGAGGGTGGGGGGGGTTGTTTTTTTTTGTTTGCTTCTCTCTTTGTGTTTGTCACAACCCTACTGCTCCATTGCAAAAAGTCTTTTTTTTTCTCTTCTTTTCCATCACTGTTTTCCAAAAGTGTATGACTGCTTATGTAAGTAGATTTCAAGCTTTTCTCTAACTTTTGTTTTCAAGCAAGCACTCCATCTAGTTTATCATAACAAGATGACTCAATGATGATTGGAGCCCGTGCAAATGTATGGATTTGAAGACTTACTTGAGTTTCTGGAACTCAGCGTATGCCTTGTCATAAACTGTAAGAGACAAAGACTGAGCTTTATCACTTAAAACTGAAATGACATAACACTCGGCCCTTGTGTGTTCTTTTACAACAACTCTACTTTATTTAATTCCAGTTTAATAATTTCATGCACCATGTAACCTGATAACACAATAAGCTGTCCACTGTAGTGACCGCTGTCCCTGAAAGGGTTGATGAATTTTGGCAGACTTTTTCAAATGTGCAAATGTGTTGTATAAACAAAACAAGTGACAGAAATGACTGACCTTCACCGTTGAGGTCCAGCGTGTGCTTGTGTGAATCTTCAGGGTCGGTGATCACAATCGAGTATTTCCCTTTGTCCCTTTCAGTTGGCTCAATCACCTTTACATCAGTAAGCTCATTCAGCCGCTTGTCAACACTAAACCCGTCATTTCATCAGCTATTAAATTATAAATGCACGCCTATAACGCACGCTTATATAAACTATGATTTCATCAGAAAGGTAATTACAATTATGACACTCTGGCGCAGTTAACAACTAAATAAAAGAAGATGGCATTCAGTTAATTAACTTCAATGGACACTATTTTTTTTTTAATTCGTAGTTAATTAGTGATCTATTCTAAATCAGTTTATTCTTCAAGAGGTCACCCTGCTATCACGAATGGATGCATCCACATATACAAAAAAAAAAGCAATACCTCCATTGTTGCCATCGCAGGTGTTCCTCCTATCACAATCTTGTCACTGTGGCAGAGTTTTTTGTCACTGTTGAGAGACACGGGGCGGAAGGAGATTATTAGGCTGTGCACATGTTTGCAATTATTGTTGATTTGAGAATGTGTCCTGCGTACTTTTGAGGTAATGGAAAATCATGTTTACACGCCGGCCGAATGTTACGCCTAGGGAGAACAATCCCTCTTTCTCTTGCTATCTGTCACTCGCTCTCTCTCATGTGCATTTGCAGAAGGCGTGAGCAGAGGTTACAAATCTCATCTCCGTAATTTGTGTTCTATGAATAATTAAATAACCTCAAAAGCCTCCGCTAACCCTTGTCACCCTTCTGCCTTTCCTCCCTCTTTATTCTTTTCTGTCCCCTCAAGCCATCTCCCTGCATGTTGTCTTTAAATCCGTTTGCGCATTTCACTCTCCCGGGCCCCATGGAGTGTTTTTAAGTGGAGAAATGTCTGCGCTTCTTCGTGGAAAATAATAGGGTGTGATTTTTTTTTTGTGGGGGGGGGGGGGGGGGGGTAATCAAAACAGGCCAATTTTGCTACAATAATGAAAGCACTTGCAACAGCCGTCCCAAAGCGTATTGTTTTTGCCTCGACTTGAGAGGAGAAGCCAAACAACGTGCTTTGCGCTCCTCACATATTTGTAGGCAGGCTGAAAATAATCACCTCTCCTCCTGCACTTATCACGCTCTGTTTTCATTCTTTTTGCCACAGAGGTAAGCAGTAATTGCAGCGACAGGCTTAGCGGTGAGAGGCCTGCACTGAAATGGCGCCTTACCCGTGGTACCAGACGATGTTCATCTCTGGAGTGTAATACTTCATGGGACACTGCAGCTGAATGCCGGTGGCTGTGCACTGGATCACGAGCTCCTGCGCACTCACCCCTGAGGGTGATGATAGAGGTGGGAGAGAGTTGCGCACGGGTCACTTTGGAAAATCACACAGCCACTTTTGGATTGGTGACAGTCACCAGGCACCTTTCCCCAACATCAGGGGAGTGTAATTTAGTTTCGGTCGACGCGCATGAAGAGCTCCGTGACTAAAGGATCATCTCTCTCTCTCTCTCTCTCTCTCTCTCTCTCTCTCTCTCTCTCTTGAGCCTCAAATGATGAAGCATTAGTATTAGCATTCATTATTTATTTGTGGGCTATAGATAAATAAACCTTCAAAAGAAGATGAGGGTGTGTGACAAATTATTCAGGTGTAATAGCGTGTTGAATTTTCTGTATTTTAAATTTATTACGATCTCAATAATGGGCTGAGGCAATTACGGGAAAAATGGTTTTGCTGGATATTTCAATCAAGACTAATAAACATGATCATTCATTAAGTTCAACACTTTTTTTCAACTTACAAAGCCCAACTTAAACCAACAATTAAAAGTATAATACATTAAATTAATAGCTATAAAAGTATTTAAATCGACAAGGTTCATCATTTTTTTTGTTGTTGTGTTTTCAGGTTTAGCTCAGGGAAGGCAGAATAATATTTGTCACACACTTGCTGCAAGCAACGCAGCCACACAGGTGCATTCCAAGGCTTTTCACGGCGCAGTAACTTGTTTACACACACACCACCATCTGACATATGAATTATTCTTCTTAGATTGAATTGTTTTTATAAGAGTGTGAAGCCAAAATTGGAATCACGTTCAAATGTCAATTAATTGCCCAGCCCTTGATCATAATACAGTGTATATAGTAGTGCAATGTTTGTGTGAAACAGGAAGACACCTACCAGCCAGTCGGGTGATCTGGTTTATGGCCTCTTCAAAAACTAGAAAATAATACACAAAAATGAAGCGGATGGAAAGTCACAGGGCTGCTGTTTGTATACCACATCTAAGACTGAACAAATAGGCTTTCATTACAATTGGTCGATAATTTATTTAGGAGAATCCGTTGTAATACAGGTCATTTGCTACTTTGTATTAGAAAAGCAGAGCTGAATGAATCCGAAAATGTGTTCCTTCCATGCAGCTAAACAACGTAGCAAAAACTCAGCAGCTACAGATACAGTGCATCACTGCATAATACAGCCACAATAAGATTTATATGCAGTTTTGCCTTGAGATACAAGTTTCATTCGTTTCATGACCACGCCTGTTTCTCAAATCCTTAGTCCCCAGTGTCACGAACAGAAATGCTAATCATTTGTTCCGGGCTCCCAAAAAACAACCAAAAATTCTGAAATGTGTTTTTAAAAAGCAACATCGCCATCTGTAATAGTATATGTTGATAATAAATTGATACAGCATTGAGATAATTAAATATAATGTAAAAAAATTGAATCATCCCTCCTGCCTTTTGCTTTAGTTCAATGGAAACTGTGCTCGTTTTGCCCACCCAGGCACAGTATAATACAAATACAGTAAGCTGCAGTAATATTCTATCATCTTACCATTGCAGAGGGATAAAAAAGATATATAGATGTGAATATTGTTATTTTGTCTATATTGTGTGGCGCCACCGTTTATGGGCAATATTTGTTGCTGGAGGGGTCATAATACCACAACACGATGCAACTCCTTAGCCCGTCTGTGGCGTTTATCATTATGTGTTAGCATAAAGCCATCAGATTGGCAAAGTTATGTGGCTGGTGTAAACACACAAAGTGTAATTCTCTTTGTTTTATGTTTAATTTGACAGAATACGGCTGCGAACAGGCCCGAATCATTCACTATTTTCCAGCTCACTCTTATCCCGGGGCACCAGTGTCTTGTTAAATTGCATCTCTCTGGAATCTCATTTCATTGTGCAGGTGTACCTAATTACGTGGCAGGTGAAATTTCAGTTTAAAACACAGATCATTAAATAGTATAGAAACGTAATACAGTATATGGTATTTCTTGGAAGTAAATCCAAGCCTGTGGAAAAACAAGCTGCCACATCAAATTCTTATCACCCTACAGTAATAGTTTACACGATTTGAAATTTGATGAAGTGGATGGCTGAACGAGTTGTGCCGCTTACATTGCAAACATGCTCTGTCCTTCGCCCATGTTTTAATGAGAAAACGAGATTTCCCTTATTTTGTGATGTATTCTTGATTTTTGCCCTCATCAATCAATTTCATCAGTAATTCAGCTTGTTTACCTTTTCCAGAAATGTCAATTTGGCTCATATCCTTTCCTCTATCATCGCTGATGGTGGCCTTGTAAAGCCCGGATGTTTTCAGAGAAAACTGGAGAAAAGATGTAGGGGGGAAAAAAAAAATCATACGAGATTACATGTGTTACCACTTTCAAAATGTCAAAACCTTAACCTAATTTAATTCATGAAGTATCGCTACCGATCTGCAGTGGGTAGCGCTGCTGTTTTCTTTTACGCCGGAAGCAGTATTGACTAAAAAAAATTGAATATCAACAAGAACAAAACAAAGTTACCAGTTTAATTGCCAATTTACAGACTCCTGATGCCAGGTCAGGCTTCACGTCAGGAATTATTTCTGCATCTTCTCTGAACCAGTCGAACTCGGAGTCTTTCTTCAAGTTGGCGACCTACAATGAAAACACAACGTATACAGTTTAGCGAGTTAGCAACATGCAGTGTTCGGTGTCTGCATGGGCCTCGTGTCAATAGTTGATCATTAAATGTGTAATTTGAGCATTCGGATGGTGGCTGATGCGTCGTCTAGAAGTCGGGGAGGTAACTAGGCCAGCTAGAATCATGCAGGCATAACTACAGTAAGCTAGTTACTCAGTCAAAAAAAACCACAGGAAGAAAAAAAATGTTTTGTGTGTGACAAGAACAACATTTTGTCGGAAATAACAATACAGTAGTTACAACACAAAATGGAGGAGCTTGAATGGAGAAGTTAGTGTCTACATTCAAACTTTGGCTGAAATCACATCTCTAGAATGGGTATAGATTTTGACAAGCTAAGATGGAATTCTGAGCAATCGCCATCTCAGCATACAGGATGATGCAAGGATTTCACTGAAGCTGGTTTGACTGTCAAGTTGTTTCACTCAGGCACAATATTACTCTATTATTTTTCATTGTAGTCATTATAATTCCTTAAGGGGGAATTCGACTCGCACAAGAATGATCAATTGATTTTCAACTCAATAATCGGCAATGAAACAGTCGTCATAGCTACTGAAGAAACTGGTCTTTTTTTTTTCTTTTTTTTTTTTTAACAGCTTCTAAATGTTTGACAACCTCGACTGCTTCCATTAGTCACTTCTGATACTGGGTCCATTATCTTCTTTCAGAGCAATTTAAAGCGTGAAATGTTAAACTCCCATTGAAAATGTATAGTGGGCAGAAGCAAGAGCATAATTCACATGTAAATCTGTTCCTAATGCTTTGAATGGGCCAACTTCAGACTGTATAATTCATTGATAATTGTGTCTTTAAGTCCACTATATGTTCATTAAGATTCACTTTGGGCATTTAATTTGGCTCTCCAGGATGGAAAAGGGCTGTCTTTTCACCATACAGAGTTGTGGCTTGCAGTTAATGCCCCTAAATAACATGCTCCAAAGCTAACCAAAAGACAATAACCACATGTTTGCAGGATGGTGGCAGTTTGACAAGTAGTAATGCGGGACTTGCAGATCGAGTTGCTCCTCACGTGCATGCATTCTTTCAAACTTATTTTTCTCCACATCGTTCACAAAGGCAAAATCTCAGAAGGCTCATTTTGTTTAGTCTCTGCCTGGACGTTAACATTAAAGACCGTTATTTCCTGCACTCGCATCGAGCCGAATGGCTAATTAGAGATAAGTGAGCCTTCTGTTTGTTTCGAGTGCAAATGTTCAATAATGGAGTTTGGCTGCATTTACCTTGCACACTAGTGTGACTGAGCAGTCGTCTCCCACGTGAAGGGACAACAACTCGCTGAAGTGGGGGCCTGTTGGAGAGCAATGGGACGCAAAAACACAGATGAAGCGTAATTATGTTTAACTACTTGTGGACCTTTATTGCCTCAACTGCAGGAACAGCCGTATGAATAATTCAGCAGTAATTTCACATCTTTGTGTGCAAACTTTTCTCTTGATATTGAAAATGTGGGCATCCATATAAATGCTGGTCACAACACCAGCAACAACGGTACATTTTAATGAAAGCCACTGTAAGAGCTGTAAAATATAAGAACGATCCGGGTTTTTTTCTGCGGTGTAGAAAATGGTGACAGTATAATAGGATTACCTTTTGCGTTGGATCTCATTAGCAAACTATGTGTGCCTAATACAGGGTACGGCGTGCCATGAATAGCTTTACACAGAACTAATTATGGCTCTGCTTTCAGCTTTCATTTGAAGTCTGTGTATGCTGGTTTATGTCTTCTATAGAAATTAAATGAGTAACCGTCCTCCGCCAAGGCAAATAGATTGCTGCCACCGTTCGTCTAAGTGGCGTACGGAGCTCAGAGGAAGTGTGTTTCTTACCCTCCTTGATTCTGATGTATTCTCTCTTCTGGTATTCAGCCTCAGCCAGCGCAGCCTTGAAAACTACATATACACACGAACGCACGCATGTTTGCACGCGGACACACACACACACACACACACACACACACACACACACACACACACACACACACACGCACACGCACATGCACATTGAATATATTCAATTAGCTGGCAGGAATCTCTATACATTCCTTTCATGTACAGAAATTTAGAGCAGTGTTTCCCAACCTTTATTGAATGAAAGCACGCATATATTTCACAAGAAAAATAGCAAATATGGAACAAAACCAAGGTTCTACTCACCTCAATTTATTGTGCTCCCAAAATTAAGTTTATTACCCTCCACCATCGAATGCAACAGCATTTAATTGATCCGTCTGTCATTATATGTGAATGGTACAGATAGATGAACAGATATAGATGAAGAGACTAAAAATAATTCGAACATCTTGTTATCACAGCGTGGAAAAGCCCCAGGACGACCTGGTGAGACACCTATCCTCTTAAAGCCACCGGAGGCTTTAAGAGGATAGTTTTTCAAAGCTCAAATATCTACAGACAAGGTTTTCCAGGTTGTAGAAATGACATGTGATTCATAGTTGAGTGGGGCGTGGTTTCAGCACATTCAGCGTGCGCGCCCACAGTATTTGAGAGCGGAGAGAATGGGTTGATTTTTTTTCAAAATTTTGAAGAGTCATTCTAAACATGGACATTTTTATTTTCAAATTTGGCAGTGTTGTTAATGCTCTTCCTTATGATGTGTCAAGACCTTCATTTATGTTCATTTATCGTGACAGGATTTTGCATATTGCATATACCTGATGATGTCGGGCAATACACTGATGTGCCTGCCACAGCACTGTAGTTGGGAGTCACTGGTTTCGAAAATTGTCCATTTCAAACTAATTATAGCGCTTAACTGCAACTACACACACACACACACAAACACAGTTATTTAGTGAAGAGGGCATATATTTATATTACATAATGTCATCATTTACGCTGCCCAGACAACTCATCACAAGCAGAAAACAAGCAGTATGAGTTTTCACTTGAAAGACTGCGTACATGTCTCAGATGTCGGTGCTGTTTGAATTAACACCAGAGTTTAATTGGACTCAACAGCAACGCAAGTCTATAATGTCCATCTATGCACAATACGAGCCGCTTATATTGAGTCCACACGCTCCTCTTACCATCTCCAATGAGCACCAGTGAGCTCTGTGCTTTGCCGCCGCCATCTATAATCTGGCAGGTGTATGTCCCCTCATTCTCTTCAGCAAAGTGGTCCATGATCAACTCAATGACGCCCGCAGACACATCATGGCCCATCTTGATGGACTGCAAAGAGAGTGAGTGAAACAATAAAGCCGCTTTATACGCCACATCTGAAATAATGTAATCCTTTTGTCAAATTATTTTGTGACTAGCTCTCTGAGATCTTTTTTATTTATCATCCATACAAAATGCAGCCTACTGAATCACCCTTATAGTGCATTGTCCAGAGCAAACTTCTTTCATATCTTTTTTAAACTATTGCTGTAAACTAAAACTGTGGCTTACATCAGCTCCAGACATTTCCTTGTCGTTAACAAAGAATTTGTAGGTGACGTTGGGGGAAATCTCCTCAGCCTGCAGCCAGAACCTCATTTTGCCTTGCTCCAAAATTTTATAGGCCAACTCTGACTTCAGTGGGATGACTAGACAAAAGGACAACAGTTAAAAGAGGGGGGAAAAAAAGCAGCCTTTCATTCTCTCTTTGGCATTTTGGCACCCGAGGACAACGTCGCTCAGCATTCATAGGAGAGTAGAGGGGAGGTGAGTCAGAAGAGGCGCAGCAGTGAATTGTGGTTATAGTGGTGATGCAAAAGCAGGTAATGGGTGTTTGGATCCAAAAAAAGAATTGCTTCAGAACTAAGGCATAAACGTAGAGAAGGGGTGGAGGACAGGCAAAAGCAAAGGATAAGTTATTAAAAGACATGCATTTTTAAAAAAATGAGGGATTCAGCCAAAGGTACCTACTTGGGTGTCTGACGTCATAGCTGTGTTTCACAAGCTTTTTCATTTCTGGAAAAAGACAAAGACATTACTCGTACCATAAACCTTGCCGTGGTCTAAAACTCAACAAAATAAACAGTAATCTACCAATCTGTCTATTTCTGTAAATATGGGCTTTAGTGTTTGTTATGGACACTCCATGACGATCACAGAAGTCCAGTGGGGGTGCATTCCTCCCAATCACACACTTGGAGGTCTCACTCTCATTGCCCACATTGAGCACATTGCCCAGCAGAACGATGGAGTCCCTAGGGGTAGCGCTCTACAGCACACCTGCCAAGGACTCCAAAAAGGTTGAGCACTTTGAACTACTGAGTCAGGACTCATCCCCCCGCCCGAAGGCGGCTTGAGGCTCATCCACCGGGGTGAACTCCAACATACAGGCGCCAAGCCAGGGCGCACTAAGTATGCCCACACCTGCTCAGTGCCTCTCACCTTGGCAACTCCGGAGTGGAAGAGTGTCCAAGCCCTCTCGAGAGGACTGTTTACCAGAGCCCAAGCTGTGTGTGGGAAGGCAAGTCTGACGATATCTCTTTGGAACTTCTCTGCCTCACGCACCAGCTCAGTTTCCTTCCCTGCCAGTGAGGTGACATTCCATTCCATTCCCTACAGCTAGTTTCCATCGCCGAGGATCGGACTGAGCACGCATAATTTTTAGATCGACTTTCTGTCAGCAAATAAGCTTCACCAGGCGAATCTCCAAAACATTCCTGTTGCTGCTACTCCAGCTTGGCAGAGACTGGTCTACCAAATTGGCAAATATGCACAGCCAACCGTGCGCTGATACAAAAATCAGGATCTGACCGGCATTTGTGCCATGCCGCAGATGCACTGTCTATTAAAATTTATTTGGCTGTCAAGAGAAAAGTGTCATGAGAGTATTTATTGCAGAGTGAAGTATGAGAAAGAATTGCCATGGGAAGACGAGTTTCTAACAAACTACATTACAAGTAAATATGGCAGGCTCTTGAATTATCTAGTGTAAAAGTAATTTAATGAATGAAAAATAATTCTTTTCACATCTGAGATGAATAAATGACCTTATTTCGGGAATGAGAGCTCATTTTTGTATGGGGTTTGACAAACGATAATACAAAAACACAACGTACCATCAGGGCTGATTGAAAGGCTGGCGGAAACTCCATCTGTGTTGGTGACAGAGACAGAGAAGATCCCAAAGTCTTCTTTCTCTGCATTCTTCAAGATCAGCTGGGTTCTGTGCAGTAAGGCATTAGAGAGACATAGGCAATTAAAAGACTGACAGATGAGTAACAAGTCTCAAAATGTGATTGTGTGATCTTACTTGTTGCCTTCAGTCTTAATATCAACTCCTTTGGAGAAATCTGTGATTTCTTCGTAATCTTTCTTCCAGACGAACTGAGAGTTTGCATTCATTTGGCACGACTCAAACGTGAAAACAATGTCACCCGTCTTCTTATCCACACAGCAGGACACCTCCTGGGAGCCTACATCACACACAAAGAAAACACAACCATCATCTGGAATAGTTTCACTGTGCTGCCCTTATCTGACAACAACACAGCATGTGCTTACATTTTAATGGGGTTTGCTTTCAATGTTTTGATTTTTTGTTGTTGTTCTGAAATGTAAGCAAGCCCAAAGAAAAAGGACTGAAGGCTATTTAAAACCTTACCTGGCAAAGCCTTGGCAGTGACAGGGTCGGAGTTCACTGAGGCCGTGCCTACACCTGAATCATTGACAGCACGCACCCTGAGGTCATAGGTGCAGCCCTCTTCCAGACCTGTCACCTAGGAAACAAACAAACAAAAAAGTGTTGCTGAAAGGTGATGGAAAAATATCCTTGGGATGCCTTTTTTGTTTTTGAAGATTTTAACACACACACACACACACACACACACACACACACACACACACACACACACACACACACACACACACACACAAATGCCTCTTTTTCATAATAGGTGCGCAATTAAGCATAAGGAGGCTGTACTGTACTTAATAGATCCTTATTGCTCTCTGGCATCTCCTCAGTAAGTGGCAGGGGGTGGGTGGGAAAGAGAGGGGTGGGGGTGAGAGTCTGTCAGAACCAACATGCAATTCCCAACTTTGTGCACTAGATAGCGGTGTGACACAGGTAAATGACAGATCAGTGAGGCACACTCAATAATCGCAAAAAACGATAATCCACGTAAACCCCGCCACCCTTGTGAAGTAAACCGCTTAGAAAATGGATGGATGGATGGATGCACGTATCAAGACTGTAAGAGAAGCAACCATAATATTTCATTACGAGCATTGGCATCCAGTTCATTACTATCATAGACCGAGTAGAAATAAAGTCAAATAAATAAGTATTATTGACAACATATTAAAATAACATTATTGTTACTTCCGAAAGAAAGTCCAAAAAGCAACAATATAAACCACATTACAAGATCCTTACCTTAAGGAAGCATTGCTTGGTGGCCGTTTCGTTGGCTGTAGTCCATTCATTAGTGCCCTTCTTAGCATACTCCACATGATAACCAGTGATTGGTCCAGAACCAATGTAGACTGGTTTTTGCCATTCAAGCACCACAGAATCGTCTCTAGCCTCACAAAAAGTCAGATCATAAGCAGGGCCTGTAGCACAGCACAAGGAAAAAAGATTTAAACAACAACAAAAATTATCACAGACACTTTATTTACATATTCTCTCTCCATTTCAAAGTAGAACAAACACCCCAGCTAACCTGGCTCAGGCATTGTCCAGGCTTCACAAGTGTAGTCGGCTGAGTGTTTGGATGCTGGTCCCAAGCCAATAAGATTGGCCGCATACACTTGGAACTGATACACTGCGCCTTCTGTCAAACCCTCCACCTGTCAGTGAATGCAGTGCCATTGTCACGACAGTCAAAGATGTTCTTATCCTCTAAGATGGGAAAGCCACTCTCAACCCTCAAACAGAGAGAGTTAGCCCCAAAGGTATTACAATTTGCATGCAAATGAACAGCTTCTTGCTCTTAGTAAAGAAAAAGGGGGGTTTGGGGGGGGGGTGTTTGGTTTTTTTACTCATCTAGTTTTATTAGACGTTACTTTGAAAAGTCTTTCAGCGATAGGTGGGATATTGATCTCCCTCCACATTTCTGTTCCACTGCATCTTTTATCCACGTAATATTCCTTAATAGGTGATCCTCCGGAGTGAAGGGGCTTCTTCCAATTCAAGACCATTGAATGTCCGTCGCAGTCCACCAGAGCAATCTTATAAGGAGCAGAAGGCGTGGCTAGGCAAAAGATTCAATCGTGAATTCTAAAATGTCAAGAAATAACAAAAGGGAAGAATTAACTGCACTTTCATTTCAAAATGAAGAAATACTTACTGAGGGCAGCCTTGACAGTTAGAGGCGCAGACTCCTGGGACTCCTCACTGAGGCCAATCTCATTGATAGCCTGTACACGGAACACGTAGGTTTCTCCTGTTGTAAGACCGCTAACCACAAACCTGTCATGACAACATCACTTGGGTTTGCCCACAGAATCTGATCAAAATTAAACAACTGTGAGAAATGCAAAAACAGTGGTCTGCCTGAGATTTTTACTTCAAACATACTTAGTGCTCTTGTGCGGTTTGTGGTTGGCTGAGGTCCAGTCTTTGGACCCCTTCACACACTGGTCGATGTAGTAGCCAATCAAACTGTTGGGTTCTTTTGGCGGAGTCCACTGGATGAGGACGGTGGTGTCGGTTTCCCGAGTTGCAATCACCTGGCCGGGAGCTGAAGGCACACCTGAAGCCAAAGAATTCAAGCAACAGCATTACAAACGTCATCACATCAACGAAAAAGACAAGACAGTTTAAGATGAACACAATTAACGACCTTTAAGTTCTTGGGTTTCAATAGGTCGACTTGGTTCCGATGGCTCACTGGTTCCGTACATGTTTGTGGAAACGACTCTGAATTTGTACTGTTTACCCTCTGACAGGTCAAAGACAGCATAGCGAGGGGAGCGAATTGGGACCGGAGTGTTAACGCGCTGCCACGCGTCGCTGTCTGCCATGGTCTGCGGTGAAAAGAGATAGCCAAAGATGCACTATTGGATAGTTGTTTTCTGTCAATGCAATGCAATAATCACGTTTTTGAGGAGGATCGGACATTAGACAGCATTAAGTTAGCAGTGGTCAACGGTCAGGTAAGTTTGTCGTCAATAGAAAACAAATGACTCTCTCACCTTTTCTATGTAGTACCACATGGGAGCTTTGCTGGACTTTGCTGGAGCTTTCCAACTCAGAACAACATAAGTCCTGTCAGTTTCCGATGCGCAGACCCCTGATGGAGAACCTGGAGGTTTTCCTTCAGCTGTACACAGACATACAGGATGTAAGTGCACACAAATTCACTACCAGCAATGTACAAGACGGAATTATACAGTAAGTCAATGAACACACCTTCTTCTTCATCATGGTAAGAGACAACGTCCAGCTTCCCTCCAAGTTTTTTAGCTTCATGGAATAGGAAAAAAACATGACTATCATTTCAGCATTTGCAAACTGATGCCTGAATTTTTTGTATTTTATATCAATCTTAGTAATATTTGGACACATGCACAAGTAGCGGTATAACACTTTGTTGTATTATATTTCTCAGATTACTTTCCACATGTACAGCAAAATCATTATTCATGTATTCGTAACTGTAAAATCATATAAACGACTGCGAACTGCTGAAGCATATATTTTGTTCTTCAGCCTTTCATAATTTTAGATTATTTGTATATTTGTCAAACTGTTTTTTTTTGTTTTTTATACCAGAAATTGATACTGGTCAATCAAGTCTCCCATGTGACATTAATCTGAGCATTTCCAGTGCCACTTACTGTGCAGCCTCTCAAATTCAGTCGGGTCCAGTGCAGCAATGGGCTCAGACATGCGGGAAGGTTTGCTGATTCCTTTGGCGTTGACGGCTCGGACCCGGAAGCAGTACGAATGTCCTTCAAACAGGCCGGCCACTGGATATTTACAGATCTTAAAGGGCTGATCGTTGCATTGATTCCAGTTTTCAGTGCCGACCTCACTTCTGAAAAGGTGAATGTAAAAAAACAAACAAACTTGAATTATAATGAAACAGAACAAGAGAGGAATAAATGTGGCCATACTTGTCCACAAAGTATCCCAGGATTGGACCCTCTGTCGTTGTATTGGGAGGCTTCCATGACACGATGACATAGTCTCTGTTGGCATCGTGAATGGTTATGTCCATTGGAGCACCAGGTGCACCAGAAACTGGGGGAGGACCATCTACGCAGCAAGCGATAAGGGGACATTGATTTCATCATTGTTTGTATGCATGCTTTAGTAACAACAGTAAACACTGGGCAACTGGGATTCGATAATTCTACTCTTTTGAAGAGATTTCATTCAGTCTGGTCTCGTTCATCCCTAAAGTTTTTCTGTAACAAATGTATCCAAACATGCCGCTACGGGTCTTGCTTTGTGCAATCGGAATAGAAAAAGGGCCTTTCCAAGTGACAAATTATCCGAAATGTCCGGAAAGTGGAATATTGACAAAGAATTCCTGAGTTCGCCATTCCTCACCTGCAACAGAGACAAATGCACTGTGTTCTGCAACGCCTCCTTTCGTCACCATGCGCAGTGTATATAAGCCTTCGTCTTCTTTGTAGAGGTGAGGAAGAGTCAAGGTGCTGACTCCTCGCCCCGTTTCAATTTTGACCCATTTCGAATCAAACAAACGAGTGTCTGGAAAGGAGACACGTCGAAAGAAATGCAATCAAGTAAAGCAGCTAACTTAAAAAAAATTAAAAATTAAACAACACAGAATAGTAAACAATTACCATCTCTGTACCACTGGGCCTCAGGTTGCAGGTTGGCCAGGTTGGGTTCAAGGGTCATACTGGCAGTCAGAGTAGCAGAATCTCCTTCAGAAGCAAACACCGGTCCAAACTTATCCGTAAAGGTAATGTGGATTTTAGTGAATTGGATCTTTGGAAGCACTGCAACTGCGAGAAAAAAAAGAGTTGAAAAAAAAAAAAGTAAAATGCCAAGAAGATAGGTTGCGTGGACATTCAATTCTGATCATTACAAAACTGGGTTTCACTAACTTTCAGCTCATCACCCAAATTTGAAATGTTTTTCTTTTCTCTGACCCATACAAAGAAAAAAAAAATCATCATCCACTGCCTTAACAACTTCCGATGAGCTAATTGTGACACATACCATAAGGCATCCATCCATACGGGCAAAACTCTTCTTTCTTGTACCCTACATAAGTTAAAAAAAAATTCAAGTAATGGTGAACCAGTAATACGTAGCAATGCATGGAAAAAGGTGATTGGTTGAAATAGATGTTTAAACGCTGCTCATATAACGCTGGTTGACTTACTCTTCACAATAACAGAAGCCTGACTTGTCGCTTGTCCATGGATGTTACCAGCCATAACTGTGTACATGGCTGTATCATCAGTTGAACATCTGCAACAAAATCAAAAACAAACAATAACAACAACATAAATAAAACCACATGACAATCATCGTTACACTTGGATAAAACAAACTTGGAATGTGAACTTGACCTAAGCAGATCATGACTTAATGACTTCCTCCTATTATGCGCTCTCATTAGATTTCCAACCCAGGCAGCAATTTAAGACCTGCATATTCTCGACCAGATTACTGACGCCACTGGCAGAGGCTGGACAAAAGTATTACCCAGCAACTCTGGATAAGTGTGTGCATGTTGAACATGTGCTCCAGTTCCAGTTTGACAGTGGCCTGAAGCAGACAAGAGGGTTGTTGTGATTTAGCGATTTATTGTGGCTCTGCATGCTGCCAGGTGATAATTATTCGATATTTTAAAGTTAACCTTCCAAAAAAAAATCTGACTACTTTTACTGTTCATATGAAGGCTGAATATTTTTCCTACAAAGGGGTGCCAGCGAGAATGTCGTTGATCTGCTCCAAGCGTGTGATCATCTGTGATAAATTGTGTAACAGAGAGAAGGATCTGAAGGTGATTCGACCGAAGGAATCTTTGAGGATCAAGTAACACTGAGGTCAGCACTTGAACAGCTGAGCTTCCCATGAGGGGAGGGAGCAAATACATTATGCTCCCTTGACCAAACTATGCGGCGTGATGCTCCCAGCACGCAACATTATTGAACGGACTTGAATGGACACCGGAATCCGGTCATTATGAGGTATGGCCCAGAGGTTTTCAGGTGGTCATATGCTTTCTACAAAACCCAGTCAACTCTTACCAGTTCGTCAAACCAAGTGATGGCATGGTCCTTATTTAATGTACCTTGTAATTTCCAGAGAGTGGACTCCTCCTTTTGCTTCGACTAGATACTTTCCAGAGGACATGTCCAGGATCATACCATCTTTATACCTATAAGTCAAAAGAATGGGAGAACATGCTAACTTTATCGTGACTTTAGATGAGGACTCCAGATGTTTTTTTGTTTTTTTCTTCACCTCACCATTTCACAATAGGCAGTGGATAGCCTTCCACAGTACAAAAAAGGTTGATTGGAGTGTTTTCAAAGACGGTGTGAGACCTGAGTCGGACCAGGAAGGATGGCCCCCTGATCATCGGCTCCTCTCGCACGTACTTGTGCGGCATCTTCATATTCAACTAAATAGAAAATCAAGAATGCCCATAAGTACTGAGTACAACATACTGTAGATGTTATTTTTTGTTTTAGGTTTTTTTTTTTGTATTCCAGTTTTGAAATCATTTTAAAAACAGGAAGTGAGAGAGTTCTTACCACTTCCTGGATGTGAGCTCGTGTTTTATATTCATATCTATCCACCGTCTCCTCGGAGCTAAACAACAGACACAAAATGAAATCACTTCAGAACAGATTTATCATTTATCTTTTGCAACCCTCGATGGGTTCCCTTCAGCTATCAATTCCAAAATATTGCACCTAGCCGAACGGCCTACTAAAATATGCATTTTATATTGCATTGGTAGACCCTTCATATTTATATTTTGAGAAAAAAAAATTGAAATTAAATTAAAAACAGATTTGAGTGTCAGAACATTAGCTCTATGTGAGGAGCGAACACAACAAAGAAAATCACCATTTGACAGCTTTGAGCACTGACATGCTACATAGGAGCAAGAGATTTAAAAAGAAAGAGAGAGAGAAGCGAAGTGAGGAGTAAGGGAAAGCCTTTTTTTTCCAGAGTGAAGTGAAGTGAATCACAGCAAACAACAACAAACACAAGACACTAAACAGAGTTTCAAGGCACAAGGAATGCATGTGAGGGAATCAAAGAGCTCAAAGCAACACTTGATCTCCTTTTCTTCTTAATATAGGCTGTCAGGATGGACACAACTATTCCCTCCCCAAAAAAACATTCAATCTCTGCTTGACGTAGCCTTGGAAACCGCATTTAAATGAATTTCTGTGGTCTTCAGCTGTATGGCTTCATTTTCCGGTAAAGCTTCCAACTGTAAGAGCACGACTATTAGTGAGAACGCTATCAGCATCATTTAAATCGTGAACAACTTTGCTTTCATGCAAATTAGCATTCCAACCTGTAATTATCCTGTACCTGCTGTATTCTTTAACCACATACTGGCTCTGTTTATGGTAGTAGTCATGGTTGTAATTCCCGTGCTTGATCAACCCCCACATGGTGACACGGCGGATCGTGACCTGTTGGCAACACAGGAACGATTATCCTCACAGTCTAGAGGTAAGATTGGCCTAAAAAAATTCAGCGGTTATTAAAGCCCGACCCGGCCCGAGCCCAACCAATTAACTTGATTTGCAGGCCCGAGCCCGAAGCAAACCCGAAATTTCATATTTTATTTCTGAGGAGTCGGGAGGAGGAGGGGTGATTTATGATAACAAATTAAAGCCTGTCTTTTGTATCGAAATCTAAGTTAAACAAGACTGTAAAAACATTAACATCTTTTATATTTCTGTTTCTGCAGAGGGTACATTAACCGACAATTTTCCACCATTGACGGATTTTTTTAAGAGTTGACGGGAAAAATTTCGGGGTTCGTTGTTCGTTCGTTCGTTGTTAGTTTGTTCGTTCGTCGTTCATTCATTGTTTCTTGTTCGTTTGTGAACCGTGAAAAACGAACCGCGAAAAACGAACCGCGAATCGTGAACCGCGAAAAAGGAACCACGGAAAACGAACCGCGAATTGTGAACCGCGAAAAAGGAACCGCAAATAGTGAACCGCGAAAAACGAACCGCGAACAGTGAACCGTGAAAAACGAACCACGAATAGTGAACCGTGAAAAACGAACCGCGAATAGTGAACCGCGAAAAACAAACTGCGAATAGTAAACCGTGAAAAACGAACTGCGAATAATGAACCGTGAAAAACCAACTGTGAAAAACCAACTGCGAAAAACGAACCGCGATTATTGAACCGCGAAAAACGAAACGCGAAAAAACGAACCGCGAAAAACGAACCTTAGCATTTATGAACTGTGAATATCAATTTTGTTCCGAAAGGATCATTTTGTTACTATGGGCAAATGATAATGTGCCGTATTTCACGTGTATTTCTTGCATCATGCAGACATAGTGACACTGCACAATGACTATGACTTAAGTGAACCACGTATTATGCTGACACTTGAACTGATTCTGATCTCTCATCCCTCTTCAATGCTACTCAGGATATACTACTCTTGAAAATAGCTGTTTCCACATCTGTGACACGTCTAACCCAGCTTGGAGTTGCCATTCATTCACCCATCTCGAACTAAAAGTGTCTAGCGTCACTCAATCCTGTCAATCAAGTACGCAGATCAAACAGAAATTTGTCATCATAACCCTTCACCTCAAAATCCAATATGAGGGGAGTACTTGATGCCAACAAATTATCGAGTCAATACACGTGACAGCTTTGTTTGATTTGGTATGCCTTATTTATTCACTTCACTGTTCAGTGTTTGATAAGACAACAAATAAGACTGTCCTGTTGGCGCTTTGAAATTGAAGTCAACTGAAAGGAAATTTCTCATGTCAGTGCATCGCCTCTGGCCATCACTGTAAAAGTACAACTGTCCAGTATGACACCTGAGCCTCTATCCCTGTAACTGTAAACCTCAACAATGCTCAGCTAAAACTGTACAAACATGTGATAGTCCTCCACTGGATGAAACACCATACATCCAATGTTTAAGATGCTTTAACAAAATCCCATTAGGTTCAAATGGCATTACAGTATTTTTAAGATCTTAAACAATGTATACAAGATAGAAAAAGGCCAGAAAAATTCCAGGATGTTCACACCTGCTTCCCTCCAATTTGGAAGACTAATATATTACAATTCTGAAGATGAGAAAGACAAAAAAAAAAGGTTTAGAACGTTTTGACAAAGCTTTTCTCACCCTTTGTGATTTCCTTAGCAGCAACTTCAGTTGTCAGTCAAAATCCACGGGGGAGCCTAAACCCTGTCCCAGACCAAGTAAGCCACCAGCGTCTCCAACGGACCCCCACCTGCCTCTCCCCAAGGCCTTAAATGGAGAGAGAGGTGCCTATATATAACCAGGATCCTTCAAGACTCAGAGCTATTCTAACCATTCGTTTTATTTGATCATCACATTTTGTTAGTATTTGTGGCATGTGAGTTTAAGAGCCCGTGATAAATGGCCGACACACTCTCCAAAGCTGGCCTGCACCATGTGGACAATCCGAGAGATGCTGTTTAGGGATATTCAATGAAATGTTATTTTTCTAAAAACATGATCCAAGCTACATTTTGAACTGCATCATACAGTTTACTGGACCCATAAGAAAAAAAAAATATTGAATTATGATTTCTTAACAACAACAAAAAAATGTACTTCATATTAATTAAATATAATTGCATTACCTTAGTTAAACAATCCCCTCATCAGTCCAGAGCTACATGCAGGCAGCCATATGTTGCTAGGTGACTTTTTTCTTTTAAAATTATGCTTTTTTTGTTTCTCGCAGTATACTACGACTTTCGTCCCTATTAGTATTTTAATTTCATTATTGTATATTTTTCTGTATAATTTGGCCTTATTGTTTCTTTCTCCTGGAATTTTGAAAAAAATCTAAAGAAAAAAAAAACATTATGAGTTCTACAAACAAGAAGAGTCCAGTTGTCAGTTTTTAACAAGACCTGAATGACTGAGAATCTAAAGTACACAGTCGTAATGTGACATGTAAAAATGACTCGAACGATTTTGGCATTAGTCTAATGTGATATCAGTGTCAGCTTGGATTTTCCTCTCCACATTTTAACAAGTACTGATATGTCTTAAGACAACATGTTGCATGCTGAACTTCAGCCAGTGCTTATTTATAAAACAAGCTATAGTTACAACTTGGCCTACACCTGACATGGCGGTCACACGAGGCTAAAATGACTCACCACTAATTAACTATCTTCCACTTTTTTTTTTAACTTAGTCAGAAAACACAGTAAAATATCCTCAAAAAGGTAACAAGCGCTTGCTACAAATGGTTAACACCTGAAGTGAGTTAAAAAGAGCCCCCTGTTGGCCAGAAGCTAGAACTGTGACAACACATCCCAGTTCTATTTTTAATACATGATGACAAGTTGGTCAGTTAAAGCTCTATGGTAGCTAAGTGCTGGTAATTTTCAGCCAGTCCCTTGTGACATATTAGAGCTAAGTGAATGATTCTCGCTTTCTGCTCTCCAGACAAGTTTAATTTTGCACATTAGATCATAATGACTCATTAATTTAATAAGAGCCCCATGGCAATTCATACATTTAATCAAGCCTGTCTGATGAACATGGATTTGTGAAAGAGACAATGTATAAAAGGGAGCCATAATTTACATTCAGGTGACTGTAGATTTCGCTGTTGTTTATTGTACTGCATATTTAATAACTATATTATACTGCATTCTACTTTGCAGTGTCAAACCTGCATCATATTTGATGAAAATATATATATATATATTTTGGGTAATAGGAGACAATGACACCTAAAGTGTGTGCTTTATGTCGAGTCTACTTTGTAATTTTGTTTTAGTTGCCGCTGCTGCACAAAACCCCCGCCTCACACAGGTAGCATGTCGGAAATAGCAACAGTGCTATTGTGGCGATCTCAGAGTATTCAGCCATAACTTGAATCCAGAACACCGGCAGAGTTGTTGTCTTGAACGTACTTTTAAGGTCGCCGTCATTTGCGATCTCCAGCAGTTTATTTTACTAATTTAGCAAGCTCCAGCGTTTTGTTTTTAGCGTAATCAGTCACGTGACGGAAAAGCGTTGTTTGACGTGCGTCAAGAGTGACACAGACGGATGTAACAGAGAATCTCGTAATTTTTCAAAATAAAATATATTTCGTATTCCAAAATAAATACAACGGAATTAATGTTAAGTTCTTATTGTGCGGCCCAGTACCAAATGCCCCGCGGACCGGAAGCGGTCCACAGACCGGCGGTTGGGGACCCCTGGTGTAGAGTAGATAAAGCGCTATCATGCATTCCATTTGCCATTTAAAACACAATTTCGTTTTAAATTCTACTCAAGCAGGTTCCTATAAATAGCAAAATCTGAGAAACTGAAACGTTGAGAGTTGTCTCTTGTGTACATACTGTACTTGTGACTGAGTTTTTTCTTATGTAAAATACGGGCTCGATATATGTTGGGAAAGATACTGTTGAAAACGGTTGAGAGGGGCTCTCCACTGTTATGCACTGCATAATTGCACCACTGTAAATTCTATCAATCCATCCATTTTCTTCCGTGTTGTCTTTGTAAACGCAGAATTTAGGAATACACCTCTTGCTATGGACGTAATGATGTCAAGCGCAGCTAACACTGTCTTGCGTCGCGTGCATGCATGTATTAAATAGCAGACGTGCTGGCGGGCATGAAAGGGAGTGACAGTTTTACCACGTGACCAAGCATGTGCTTGACGGCACCCGTGATTGGCTGAGCCGGTTGGCAAAAGGCGGAAGTATATAAAATAACGTAAACAACCACAGGCGCTACTGAAGCAAAGTCCTGCCGCAACATCCCCGAGTCGTTCATGAACATGAGCTGACAAAAGTCGGCAGCCTTCACGAAGCAATTTCGCCACATAAGACAAAGTAAGTTGATGTGACTTCTTCCAACGCGAAATTGAGGGGAATGAGTTTGGGGTGAGTCACAAAGCGTTCGAATTTCATGTATTGTGTGTAGTCGTGGGTTTAGCGTTGAACTTCGAACCTTTGCCCGACTTACAAATTATGGCCAATAAATATAAGACAATCATGTCTGATGAAATCTGAGCATTGATGTATTTTTAAATGCATGAATGCTCGATTTAATGTCAGAGGTATTATTTGAACAATTTAAAAAATATATTTTTTCAAATATTTTCAATAATTATTGCTGTGGTTGAACTGCACATCATACTGAGTTGTTTGGACATCACATGGGTTATAACGAACATGGGTGATTTCGTTCTCACGGAATCCATGTTTTCCTTATTACACCCCTTCCCCCAACCCCCATGATTACAGCACTACCTGTTTTCATTTCCTTTGCGTTTTTTGGGGATGAGGAATAACAGTGTATTGCAAAGATTTAAAGAAGTTATTAATCTAATCTTTATCCTGAGGTTCTTGAGTAATTGTAAATAAGTATTCAATGAAAAGCCTACTCAAGTACTGAGTAACTGAGAACTCTGGTGTTTATTTATCTTGTGTCATTTGAGCAAAAAAAGTGCAAATTGCCCTAGGCAGTAGCCTGTATTTATCTAATGAGAAATCCACGTCTGATATATATTGATTGATTGATTGATTGATTGTTTATTGAACATATATAAAACATACAATAACATGACAAAATGCAAACAAAAATTATGTAAGGAAAATAAAAGTGAAAGTAAGTAATACAAACATCATCACAGTTATATGTTCAAAGGAGTAGGAAGAACTTATCTAGTCCTACCCCTTGTTGTGCAATAATGTATACTGATCATTTCCAATACCAAAGAAAAGGAAGAAATCTAATTTTCATCAAATACTTTTACCCTTTTGTGTACTATACTTATCTATTGATACACCTTTCGGTTTGTATATATGTATAATTGTTCTTTCTACTTTTTATATCAAATGACTCATATTGATTATATATACTGCATTTCTTGAATACATTCAATAAGTTGTTCAAAATCCAGAACAAGAACAAACCATAGTATTACTATGTTTTATAAGTACCAGTATGTAAAATTTATCTTCTTAACTTTGTTTTATGTAGTTTTTTTGTACTAATCTTTTAAATTTGTTTTTGAACTCGTCCAACGATTTACTCATTTTCAGATCCATCTCAAGCTTATTCCACAGATTAACTCCTATTACTGATACACACCTTTGCTTGATGTTTGTTCTTGTTCTGGATTTTTTGTATTGATTAATACCTCTTAGATTATAACAACTATCTCTGATTTCAAAAAGCTTCTGGATATTTTGACAAAGGAGATTGTTATGTGCTTTATACATTAATTGGGCAATTTTGAAGTCAACCAGGTCATAGAATTTCATTGTATTTGATTTGATGAATAGTGGATTTGTGGGTTCTATATATTTAGACAGATTGATTATTCTGATTGCTTTTTTCTGTAGTTTTAAGACAGGGAGTGTGTTTGATATATCTGATATCTTTGTCCTGTTTAGACGTTTGATGTGAAGTCATAAACAATTCTTCATTCACAGTCTTTCTTGTTTTGAAGATCCACTATGAGTCTCAGGTGTCATCTTTTGCTGTGTCTGGCAGCGGTCTCTGCCTTTGCTATGTCGCCTCCGTAAGTACAGGAAAACACCGTCATTCATTGCATTGTTGCCTGTTAAGAGCTCCTAACTTTATTCAGAATTGTATGTGTGGTGTTTGTTTTTTTTTCCCCAGACACATGTGGACCAAACTCATCCTCACCCACCACTGGCCCAACACTTTCTGTTCTGTGAGTTTCCTTCAGCCTTTTTAGTAGAAAATATGTTCAGCATATTAATGCTGGCTCTTTTGATGCAAAGCTGTTAATGATTTACCTCCTTAATCTCTGCCGCTCGCAAGTGGCAAATGTAAATTTTCCGACGAGCTTTGCCACTGACTCAACTTTTAAACTCGTGAGGTCATGTGACGCTTCAGTCATGAGGCTGTGTGGTTTTGATTGTGACAACACGGTGGTGCAGTGTCTTAACCCTTAACTTGCTATGTGTTGGCTTCTTTTAATGCTGTGTTGGTATTACGATGGCGCTGACGTGTGCCGTTTTGAACCCCTCACAGGATGAATGTTTCTTTGTAGTGTTGTCCGCATGTGACAATTCCACTGCAGGTTAAATGTGTAGATTCCTGTCAGTAATTTTAATGCGCAACTGTGAGCATTAAAGTGCGCTTTGAGATCGAATGGTTGTGACAAATTTCAGATCGAGTCCTGTCATCATCCGAACATCAGCTACTGGACACTCCATGGATTCTGGTCAGTGGAGTATGTGTGCGTGCGTGTGATACTTGCATACAGAAGTGTGTTCTGCTGAAGAGGAAACAAATGGAAACTAGATGGGTTGGCCATTAATCTGTTTAGCCCATAAATCTTAAAATGAGAACACCCAGTTGTGCATGGATGCTTATAACATTGCTTCCTATGTACACAAAAGGCATATTTATTAGATTAGATATCCTTTATTTGTCCCTATCATTAAAAGTGTTCATAAATATGACAAAAATTGTGTTAGCGGGCATTTTTCCTTTTTCCGAGATAATCCAGCCACTTTGCTGATGTGTCATATCAAGATGCAAATAAGAGAACAGGATGGTTGCACATTTTAAAGGCCACTTTAAAATATGGAGTTTTGCTGTATTAGGGGGTCAAAAATCCGTCATAAGGTTGCGTTTAGGTTGTTGTTCTCTGTATTTAAGTTGCTTCACATGTTCAAGAAGGGAATAAGGGGCCGTAATAATCGTAACCCTTTTTTTAATATATGCTGTCCTTTTGCAGGCCCGATAAAGGGAATCTTTGCAACGCATCATGGCATTTCAACTCATCTGAAATAGAGGTATTTTGTTGTCCTTTGTCAGTGTAAAAAAAAGTCATAATGACAATCATATTTTCATTTATTTTCAAGGACCTGCTTCCAGACATGGAGCGCTCTTGGCCCGATTTACTGAAACCTGCATCATCTGGATTTTGGTGAGGAGATCAGTCAAAGTTTTTCTTTGTTTCTTTCCTTTAACTGACATTCATCAGAAATTTCAGTTATTTAAATGGTTAAAGATGGAATATTTGTTGTTGTCCGAGATAATGGTCCATCACCTCGCGTGTGTCTTTGTGCGCGTGATTTGTTTTTACGTCCCCAAAGTAAATGCTAAACTCTATTGCCACAGGAAGTACGAATGGTACAAACATGGCACCTGTGCTGCCAAAGCACCCGCGCTAAACAGTCAGCACAAATACTTCGGCAAGGCGCTGGAACTGTACCATAAAGTGGACTTGGATAGGTATTGAAAACTCACACATCAACTGGAACAAGTTTCACTCGACACCCTTCTCAGTAGATGATATTTGTCCACCTGTGCCCCTGTTCTTGTAGCATGCTGAGGAAATTTGACATCATCCCATCTGCAAATTATTACAAGGTGAGTATTTCTGTTAACAGTTTAATGTATTGGAATGTATAACAATCACCAATACTTTTTTTTTGGGGTGATGTGGCACGATGCATTGATGGATTGTTCCCCTTCTGTGTCATTTTGTAGCTTTCACAAATCGAAGGAGTCATTGAAAACTTCTATGGCGTCACACCCAAGATACAATGTGTCCATCCAGCTGAGGTATGAGCGTCAAACAGCCAATTGTTGAATGTTGGAGTCACTACAAACGGAATTCAGAGTGAGCTCTTGAGTTCAACTCAATATTTGATGTGTTTTCTAGAATACTGATGTGCAGGTTTTGGGTCAGATCGAGATTTGTTTCAGCCCCGACTTCTCTCTCCTGGATTGTGAGAAAGAGATCTCTTCCGCTGGAGCCTCCGCGTTCAGCGTCTGCGACCCTGACGTTCTCGTTTACTATCCGCCTCTTTGAAACACTAACATAACACACAACAGCGTTTACAAATGTGCACGTATTGTACATCCTCATTTTTTTTTAACCAATTAAATGTAAGTGTAGCAAGTCGATTTGCACGCAGGCTGAGATAGGCAAGCAAACAGTTTCCTTTTTTTTGTCATGTCGCTACCGTTTATAGTTTCAACTCAGCTACTTTATGAACTTGATCTCTCAGTGATCTACCGTTTTTTTCGAATAGTGTCATAGATATAATTGTGCCACAGTTATTATTTGTATTTTAACAAACATTTCACAACAGGATTCATCTTGTTGAGTTACCTCTCTTCAGCATGTCAAAAATTATGTGCATGTCCAACCATGAGCCGTTTCGGGTTGTTTACAGCAGCAGCATTGAAGTGTATGTTGTTATCTCACCTATCAGACTGCGTTCGGGTTAATCTAATGATTTAAGAGTAGCAAGGATAATTTAGTTTAGAGGGATAAAATAGATTATTTAGGGGCAGACCAAGTTCATTGCTAATCATATGCCACTGTTTTTGGATTGTAATGCAACTTTCAGGGAGAGGACTGCAGAGGAACTTTGCCATTGTTGTCATTATAATGCCAGAACTTGTACTTATGGTGCTCTGTTTTAATATGGTAAATGCATAGGGGCAGGTAATCATAGGAATATATTTCCCTTGTAAAATATCAATTGAAAAATGATTCGTTGTGTTTTTGTCATTGGTATCTGTAGAAATAAATTCATGTCCATAAAACTAGAGCGCACTCGCCACTTCATTACTTGCACAACCTATGTAAATTAAATACAAGAGCTTTATGAAAAATGTCATCTCCCAAAAAAAAAAAAAAAAATCGGGGGCAATGTCCATGAGACATTCATTAAACAAAGTGCTCATCAGTGTAATTTCCAGTGATGGAAAACAGCATTGTATCGGTGGCTCCAGCTCCACGTTACCCTGAACCGAATATGTGGTTATTGAAAAATGGATGGATTTCTATTTTTGGTTCAGTTATAATAGGGCATCATGAGTGTCAAACTTAAGCATTCCAAATGGCAGACTTGATGATATACAGCTCTTGTATTGAATCTCATGACAATTGTTGTGGCGAGTGAGTGCCGATGCTGTTTTTCAGCCTGTCCTTGTGCATGCATCTTCTCCGTCTGTATGGATGATATTATTATGATCTCCTTATAGAGCTTTAATCCTATCTACACAAAGACACCATGCCCATAATCCTGAATCTCCTCCATACGACACAGCAGACTGCATCTAATGACTATCTTGATGAGTTTTAACATTACCGAAATGCCATACGGGACTCTGGAGTGCGCTCAAATCACACATAAACACACATTCTGAAGTTCATGTTTTATGAATCATAATCCCATTAAAGGGAAATTCTGTGACCGCTTTGGCCTAAGTTTTTACTGCTGGCCTGTCTTGTGGTAATGGTATTATTAACAACGTCAAATTTAAATGATGGGTTTTTGCTATGGCCACTTAGCCCAGGTGGAGTGCAGGATTCCTTCACTACATAACCTCCCACCCCCGCTTATGTAACACTGCAGCTATGCAAAGCTGCTGATGTGACAGCTCCGCGCACGTCCACGAGCACTGTGCTTACACAGGGCGGCTCTGCATGGTTCAATCACATTGATTTCAAACATCAATGCAATCATCAGCGCGTCACATTGGGTTTCCATTGGTGGTTCCCTTTCTCCCATTCCCACGCCGGTCCAACTTGTTTTCATCCATCGTGCTTTCAGAATCGTGGCAATCAATGTATCCCCTCCCATCAGTGTGAGGTTAAACGAGAAAGGATGCAGTGGGAGACAAACAAGGTGACACCACGTGATCTGGCCAGCTGTTGCTGCATGCTGCTGGGAGGAAGAAGAGGATCAACACACGCGCGCGCATGGGGAACTGATGTTAGGCTGCTCCTCACGCCGTCTTTCGATTCAACGTTAGATTCGAAGCGGTTCGCCTCTCCTTCGTGCGCATACAAGACGATAAGGAGGCTCTGGGATCAACAGCTCCGTAGCTGAGGCGGCGATCGTGGAGTGTACGGAGATAATGACGAAATTCACACGCCACCTCGACCGCGTCGCGACGGGACGAGCGAGGGGATCGCTTCGCTATTAGAGACGCCACCATCATCCGCTCGTTCGTTTACCTCCACACGGAGAGGAGATGTCCTTCACAAATGGGATGCATGCGCAGGGCTGATCGTTGCCATGGATACCAACACGCGAAAATTCACAGTGAAGAGATGGTTTTCCATCTATCTGAAGAACAAGGCCGCCCGAAACAAGACCACGACGGGATTCTGTCAGCTGGAGGTGGGTCACGTTTGGATCCGTCAGGTGTAATTAACGAGGCTTTAATCCTTAGGATCTCATAATATGTGAGGTAACGCATGCGAAAATTCGGGAGGGAGAATAAAAGTCCGTATGGCACAAAGTGTTGGATTTGAAGCTGAAACGATGCAACCCTAATCGATTAGTTCGTAGTTTATTTGGTTTATGTACTGTATATGCTAACAAGAACATTTGTTTTAATTCCTAATTTCAGTGCATGATAGGATTTCGCAACCTTAAACTTGACAAATTCAAGAGATATTTTCCCCATTTGTGGCATTTCACTGAACAAATAATTGAAGACAATATAAACAATTCAGCCTGCATTATAGTTGGCACATCCAAATCACATTAGTTGTTTGTAAAACTTCACAATACGTTTTTTGCACTTGATATGTTGTTTAAAGCTTGGATGACATGAATTCAAGGTGTTTAAAATATTCATTCCATGGCTGGATATTCAAAAACTTCTATTAAGCAGCATGGTAGTGCTGCAATACCTTGCTTGTTTGTCCTTTGATTTGTTGTGGGATGGCGTGAGGTCACTGCTGCTGCAGTGTCACCAAAGTCGTTGTCCGTCCGGGGTCTAGGACACCTCAGCAGAAGGCCACTGCTTTGCCTGAGAGAGAGGCAAGCCTCTCGGAAATGCAATCGGACAGATGAGCAAACAAGCGGGCAGTCCGCTTGATAGATAAATGGATCCAGACAGATTGATTCAGTGGATGCCACAGCAAGGGATGTCTATTTATAGCCCAAACAGATCAGAGCAGGACAGGGTGGCAGCATGCTGTTTAGCGGCTCACTTTGTATTTCGGTATATAAATAGATGAAAAACATTTGTGCTGGAATGCAATACTGTACAAACGAAGCTCGTTTTGTCAGATTGTTTTTGTCTCCAAATAGCGTATGTATGCCACTGCCAGTTCACTTACCTGTCAGGCTGTTTGTCAGTGTCAGGAATATGATGCCTGGTTGATTCATGTCCCTGCAAGAAAAGACCAGAATTACAAATTTGCATTCAGGAGACCAATACTGGAGAGTCATGCGGTTGTTTCTCCTCTGGCTGACTCACCTTTACTGACCACTTTGTGAATACTGAATAAATACTAATGTTTCAACAAAAACAAAAACAGTCATTCAACGGCGATACATGTACAACGCCATGAGCAAGCACTTCAGCAACAGTGGTGCAAAGTGAAGGTTCTCTCTAACATGGCAGAAGCAGCATGGTGAAGACGGCTGTCTCTATCTTTGAAGATCTACGGGGAAGATTTATTGGCTTGCTGGGGAATACCGGTACTTTGTCTCAATTGGCAGTCACGAGTCTGAGTGAACAAAGATCACTTGCGAGGTTGCACAAGGGTCCATTCTTGGGCCACTTCTATTTAACATGAACATGCTGCCCTTTGCTCAAATTAATTGAGCACCACAACATATCTTATTATACTTATGCAGATGCCATGCAATTATATATTTCAGTGTTGTCGTTCCTTACTTTCATTCAGGGTATTCATCAAATTAATAAGTGGACAGACCAGAATTTTCTCCAGCTCAATCCAGACAAGACATACATCAAGGTCCAAGATCCGTGCTCATCTTGACTCTGTTATTAAAAGCTCCAACTCAAGCCAGATATCTTGGTGTCATTATTGACTCAGACCTGGAATATGGTTATTGTCAAAATGATAAATATCAAACACCCAAAACTGGTGAAGTTCATTTGAGTTGATTTACAAACAAAACCTAGCTTTGTTATTCCTTCAATTTTAGCAATGTCTTTTCTGTAACTGGCCAATCTCAGTTCTGTTACAAAGATGTGCGCTATGAGATTCAAGTAAAGCATCAAAAGGCATTGGCTCCTGCCAATACAGTGTAAACAAAACCCAGTACAGTGCAGCTTGGCACGTGATCATGTGCTTCACTAAGTAGAATATATCGACTGAAAAAAGGTCCTTCACCTGATGCTTGACTGCCAGTGTCCATTCTAGGTCAATGGTATTGATGCAGAAATGTATGCTTTCTCCTGGTCATGAAATATACAAATATACATATATGCCGTATTTCATTGGGTCAACTGAACGTGAAAGTTGCTGACATTCTTACACAAGGGCTTCAAGGTACTATATGTCCTATTCTTGAATAGTTTTATCGTTTAAAGAAGTCCTGCATCAGCAGAGACACACTTCTGAATCAATGACCCCCTTAGCCTATCTTAATTATTTATCTTATCAAGACATTTTTGAAAATTCTTTGCTTCCCCTTGGGACTATGTCATGGGAAATGTTCCGAATGCTCAAAGCAAGGTCTGTAAAATGCATGCTTGAATGACTTTCAGTATGAAGAACACGAGAGCTCTGACATTCAAGCATCTTTGGAATAAACTCAGACAGAAATTAAACTCATGACCTCACAAGTATTCTTCTGGATGAATAACTCAAAACTTTTTTTGGTCCAGTTTCACCTGCAAAGTCGTGTCCCTATAATTTTGTCCAAATAGTTTAACAACAAAAGTTGTCACGCTCTCCTTTTTTTTTTTTCTCTCCAGGATGACAGCATACTCAAGGAGATTGACATCAGCCACCATGTGAAAGAAGGCTTTGAGAAAGCTGACCCCTCTCAGTTCCAGCTACTCAAGGTGCTTGGACAGGGATCCTATGGAAAGGTACATCTTGAAAATCTGTCTGATAAGCGGATATAAAGATTTTACACTTTGCGCGATCATTTAAATAATAATCCATGACAGCCGGCCAGATGTCGACTCCCATCTGCGTGCTTTTCCACTTGCATGGCTGATCCAGTATGTTGAAATTTAGAGGCAAGAAGCAACAGCCGGCATATTATTGCAAGTATTATTATATTATGATAACGTTTTCGCAAGGTCACTAATTGAACGTTGAGCCTGATCCGAGAGTTGCCAAAATCACATGCTGCTGTCATGCACGAATGACAACGCTGATTGATGGACTCATTTTCAGGTGTTTCTGGTCAGAAAGATCAGAGGTGTGGACAGAGGGCAACTGTATGCAATGAAAGTCCTGAAGAAAGCCACACTGAAAGGTAAGGTTGCAAATTACTTCTTAAGACCCGATAAAAGGGGATTTCAATGGTTTCTTTTATGGATGCAATAAATACGTGCAAAAGCTGAGAAAAAAATATTGAATTTTAGTGTTGAACTCTTTTACGGGAGCATCGAGATGCCAATGTGGAGTAAAACTACTTTGGTTAATAAGTTCAAACGGACTTGCGAGTATGTTCAAACATGTTTAATATATGCTGCAGTCGATGTAAATAAGTTTATATAACGCAACATACAATTTTACAACAATTGTAAAAGTATTATTCCTGAATATTTATTTTACTTTCAACCACTCGACATGTTCAGTGGCATCAGTGCTATACATACACATATAGTTCTTATTTTTTTCTTTGTATTTTTGCCCTCTATGGACAATAAAAGCGGTATTGTGCTATGACCAAAACATAAATATAAATCTATATAAATAAAACATGAATTGGAATATTTCATATCACACAATTTTTATGCTTTGTCTTTGATTTAAAGATGACAATACGCAAAAATCTACAAAAATTGTAGAAATTGTAACACATGGGTTACGATGTCGACAAGCAAGTTAGACACAAGCAAAAATGTGAGCTAGTCATACAATCATGAAAATATCCCGCATGATTATGGCAACTTGTTGCTTTCCAATTCCCGGTGCGCTTAAAATGACAAATATTCATTGATTGTTTCGATCTCCACGGTTTTTCTGAACTCCGAGCGCCCTACATTCAAGGGGATTTGAGCAAACGAGGTTAGTTTGTACCTTTCATTCAGATAAACTGGTATTGAATGAGATTATTGTCAATGAGGATGCAGCGTTATTGTGAACGAACGAGCCTGAGTTGTCTTGCGTTGACTCGTTGTCTTTGCACTACGGTATTCCTTAACCCTCTTAACTTGGACCCCATTGACTTTAAGTGGCCTTGTCTTGAGATGGATGTGATGAGGTAACGTCACAATCGTGTTTCTTTATTGCACAGTACGGGGTGGCTCTAATCCTACTTCGTAATTGCCATTTTTAATCAATATCATTTTGTCCTGCAATGGACATTTTATTAGAGATTTACCACAAGGATGTTAATATTAAATCTTTTCCTATCGCCCTCCAAGTCCGAGATCGTGTGCGATCCAAAATGGAAAGAGACATTTTGGCAGAGGTCAACCACCCATTTATCGTGAAACTACACTATGGTAAGTCTGAATTAATTCACCGACCCAATGTATCAAACAGATATGTGTTTTGTCCTTACTTAAAGCTGTTATTTAACAATTTTACCATGCTGGAACATGCTCACTTTTTCACCTTTTCAACTCTAAATACATGCTCAGAAAGAACGCGGTGATTATCCTAAAACCCTAACGCAGTTGTTAAGCCCGGATGTGTCATATCTGGTGTGTGTGTGTGTGTGTGTGTGTGTGTGTGTGTGTGTGTGTGTGTGTGTGTGTGTAGCCTTCCAGACAGAAGGGAAGCTCTATCTAATCCTAGACTTTCTCCGAGGGGGGGACCTTTTCACTCGTCTGTCGAAAGAGGTTAGTTTGGTATTTGTCAGCTTTAAACAATGTCAAGCCAGTTTCGTTCAGCATTTGTGTCGAACACCGATTTAAGAAACTTCAGAAGACTGTACTGGAGTACACTTTGTCCCTGCATGCATCACTGCATTGGACATTTTTGTTGATGTGTCGACATGTTTTTTTTCTTCCAGGTGATGTTTACCGAAGAGGATGTCAAGTTTTACCTGGCAGAATTGGCTTTGGCCTTGGACCACTTACACAGTTTAGGAATCATCTACAGGGACCTCAAACCTGAAAAGTATGAATGCCCTTAGTTCTTCTTTTTGCTACCTCGGCCAGTGGGGTTGGTGTTTGTTGCGGGCTTAGTGTGATCATTTGTCAGCAAGAATCCACAATCCACATTTTTACAATGTCGGATTTAGTGGTGGGGTGTAATATAGTTGCATTTATTGTGTAAGAGGTATGACCTTTCAAACTGTCAGCCTGCCAGCAGGGATGACTAAAACAAGCCTGTATAGTTTAATGGAAGGAAACTGAGTAACGATGTGCTTCCTCTGCAGAAGTTCGAGAATATGAAAATAAGGTAGTTGTACTTTGTAATTTGTGGATGAGTAAAGCAGTTAGGCTCATGTTGTCGTCGTCCGCTAGTCCGGTTGCTGCTAGTCTTAAAATATTCATACCCACGAGACCAAAGGACCATGGGACTGACAGTGAGGAACGAGGGCAACGGCACAAAGTGAAGCTTTATTTTCATTCATGACAAATTATGCGACAAGTGTTTTGCACAGCCACTTTCAAAATATGCCAGTCTATTCTTAAATCTAATAAAATCACAAGTGAAATGGGAACATCGAAATGGATAAACGCTTTTTTTTTTCCTGACTATGACGTCCTGTCTTACAACATGCTTTATTTATGAAACATATGATGAAATTGTCTGCTTAGCTGACAAGAAACAAACCCAGGGCTTCCACCGATTACAACAACTACCTGCAGTGTATTGTTGAGTTGTGGCTTAATTCATTTTATTTTATTAACACCTTTGCCGATCTGTCAGAATATGTCCTGACGTGAAATCAGTTTGGGGGGCAAAAAGGATTGGGGACAGTTGTACTGTGCTTAAAAGAAAATGCCACTGACGTCATTGATGAATCGACTGAGTCAATTTCATCACATTATAGTCGGGTACAAAAAAAAAAACAACTTTTTTTTTTTTCAACCACTAATTTACAGTCAAGTGGTGCATTAAATTTAGCCTCAATCTCTTCAAGACATAATTAATAAAACATCCAACACAAATGTTGTAGTAGTCATTTAATGCGTTAATCATTTATGAGGCCCATCCTTATATTGCACTAGTTTGAGCTATTAAACATTGTGATTTACATTGTCCTTGGCAAAGCTCTGTATCATTCGATTCTTCAGTCCTTGAATTAATCTGACAATTTCGGTCTTTCTCGACAGCATTCTTCTCGATGAAGAAGGACATATAAAGATAACTGGTAAGTACAACCAAGTGTTCCTACCTTGACTTTGTTTTTCCTTCTCATCCTAAATCGGAACCATTTCTCTGTCACCAGACTTTGGTTTGAGTAAGGAAGCCATTGACCATGATAAAAGAGCATATTCCTTCTGTGGAACGATCGAGTATATGGCTCCAGAGGTGGTTAACAGGAGGGGCCACACACAAAGTGCAGACTGGTGGTCATTTGGAGTGCTAATGGTAAGATTTTTTTGCTTTTAGCCCCATTGTTGAATCTCTTCAATTGCCGTTTTTTTTTTTTCTGGCAGAAAATATGCTGAAACGCCATATTTGTAAGATGATATTCTGTCACTTTCAGTCATCGTGGCGCTTGCCTTTTTGTCAGCCAATGGCTTAGTTCACATTCACTGATAGATGGCAGCCACATCAGGGCACCGGGAAAGGGTGTCGTCACTTTGTCATGGAACGAAAAGCATCAGAAAGCCCTTCCTGTGAACTATACCAGTTTGAAAGACAAAAAGGAGTGAAAAAATGTGCATTCCTTACATGAAATACTGATTGCAGGATGAAAGAAGCATGAGCATTTCAAGAATATAAATTAGCTCATACTAAGTACAATTTGTTCTAATGACTCCTTCTTGTCCGTCTTGCAGTTTGAGATGCTGACAGGATCGTTGCCATTCCAAGGCAAAGACCGTAAAGAAACAATGGCCCTTATTCTAAAGTAAGATGAAGAAGCGATACACTTTCATTGGGGATGGGAATAAATGAGTTGATGAATTGATTGTTCATAAACCTAATCTTATAACAGTAGAGACAAATTGAAGCACACGCCTCCCTTGACTGCAAAAGAAAAACAGCCTGGTGCTGTTGTTTTTATTCAATTGGTGGCCTGAAGATCAGCAACATGACTTAATCTATGGAAAATTGAACTACATCCATGAAGACCTCCGCTATGGAATCTCCTGTGGGCAAGCATTACTCTGCCCTGCTATAGAAACAAGAGCAGTGAAGATTTTGAGTGATTTTCCCGTCCCAAAAGAAACGACCGTACATATCTTTTTTTAATTTGATAAGATTGCGTGATATTTTCCTCAAGGTCAAATGTCCATCCCTAAGTTACCTTATTCTAAATGAATTATGATTGCAATGTTGTTTTTGTGGTAGTTTTTGTGTTCTGTCTTTTGCATGCAAGTATGGTTGCACCTCTTGACCAACGGTAAACTAACTACCACGCATGCCTCAATAAGTATGTTTCTTTTTCTGTCTTTGAAGGGCCAAATTGGGGATGCCGCAGTTCCTTAGTCCCGAGGTACAGAGTTTATTAAGAGCACTCTTCAAGAGGAACCCTGCTAATCGTCTAGGTATTGCCTACATCGAACTCATTTAGACCTTGTGTATCAGCAACCATCAATCCTTTCAGACCTACAGCATCACTGTGGGCAATTTCATTTCCCTTCCCATGGTACTATGATGTATTGTACAATTACTGTCGTTTTCATCGCAGTAAAACTTTTGAAATTGAAAACAAAACTATGAGTAGAATTAAGTTTAAATAAACTGCGGTATGGTGGTGTTCTAATGTACCCGTAAAAGTAATCATTTTCAATGACACCATTTTTTTTTTTTTTTTTACATTTTGTATCGTGGGGGCATTCGCCTGAGCACTGTTTGCTCAACTTATTTAAATTTGTGATTCACAGGCGCAGGACCAGATGGAGTGGACGAAATAAAAAGTCACTGTTTCTTTGCGTCGATCAACTGGAATGTGAGCACACAGACTTTTTAATGCGCCATACGCCAAGACGTGCAAACATAAAATTGTATTATGCACTTCGATGAGAAACTTTGGGTGGCTTTGAAAACATTTTGCATAATAAATGATGACTTCTCCTTTTATACATGACTGTAGAGCGATTGGCCGCGCAGGCTGTTGCCATTAGTCTAAAGTCCCTAAGCCAATCAGGCTGTAGAACACAACGCACTATTAAAAAAAAAAAAAAAAAAAAAAAATGCACGAAATAAATCCAGGCAACAGCAGCAAAGCTGTCAAAGATGAATCGTGTTATCGCAAGAGATTTCTCCGTATATATTATACATATAAAAACATCACATTCTATCATTTTCTTTACTAGATGGTTCCATTTCTGGGTCAAATGTGTTTTGAAGAAAATTATTTTGCACTGAGAATACTGACAATAAAGTACAGTATATGGAATCTAATTCTATTTTAATTACAATTGAACTGTTTTTGTTTTGTTTTGGGTTTTTTTAGAAGTTGTACAGGAAGGAAATCAGGCCACCGTTCAAACCAACAGTCGGAAGACCCGAGGACACTTTTCACTTTGACCCAGAGTTCACCTCCAGAACGCCTACCGGTAGCCACAAAACACACTTGTCGAAATTCACATGCCTGCATTCTAAACCAAATGAAATAAAAAAATCAAGGTGTCTGGTTGTGCATGTGGTTGCGGATGTGTTTGCCGATCTAGACTCTCCTGGCATCCCGCCCAGTGCAAACACACACCAACTGTTCCGTGGTTTCAGTTTTGTTGCCACTAATCAAAGTCAGGAACCAAGTGTGGCCAGCGTTCCGCCTTCCCGCCCGGAAGGGAACACCATTAATCCTCTTGCACAGGTACCCATTGCCACAACAGAGCACTCTCAATCGATGAGACCAATTAAAATAATTTTACGTGTGTGTCTGTAGCATCTCCGTGGCGATGTGGCCTTCAGTGACATTTATGAACTGAAGGAGGAAGTTGGCCAGGCAGCCAACTCGGTCTACAGGAAATGTCTTCATCGAGTGACTGCTGTGGAATATTCAGTGAAGGTAAACTGACAACGGGACCTCGAAAGTCAAATGTCGCTATACGAGTCGGAATGCGTGGGTTTTCTCCGGGTACTCCGGTTTCCTCCCACATTCCAAAAACATGCCTGACAGGCTGATTGAACACTCAAAATTGTCCCTCAGTGTGAGTGTGAGTGCAGATGGTTGTTCGTCTGTGTGTGCCCTGCGATTGATTGGCTGGCAACCGGTTCAGGGTGTCCCCCGCCTACTGCCCGAAGACGGCTGGGATAGGCTCTAGCACCCCGCACGACCTTTGTGAGGATAAAGGGGATCTGAAAATGGATGGATGGATGGATGGGATGTCAGGGGCCATGAGAATGGTTAGTGCAGTGCCACTTCAAAAAAATATGCGGTAGCAACATCACCATGAGGACCAGCATTAAAATACAGGTTCAAAGCAAAGATATGATACTTAAAAATGTACTGTACTGTATTAAAAAAAATGTTTTAGCCACTTTACAAGTAACATTATGCATACTTAGCACTAGAGGGTGCCTGCATACCACTAGTTGCAGCGCCTAGTGAAAGCGATACAACACTGGGTCCGTGAGGTTTAAAAAATGTTTGTTTTATTATGTGGATAAGAATATGGCCTATACCGCTACTACAACCCAAATAAACATTTTAAATAGATTTTTTTAAATTGCATATACATCTATATTATGTAAATTGTGTAGTTTGTGGACAAGCTGATGAGTGCATATGATTTGCAGATTATTGACAGAGGAAGGAAAGATCCATCTGAAGAGATTGAGATTCTTTTAAGATACGGACAGCATCCTAACATCAACACGTTAAAGGACGTAAGTGAAACATTGTTTCATAATAAAAACAATCTGAATTGACACAATCGCTGATTCACTTTTGCAGTTCTCTTTAGTTCTGTAAATATCTGCGCATGTGCTCCCATCTTTAGGTGTTTGATGATGGCCAATGTGTGTACCTGGTTCAGAATTTGTTGAGAGGAGGTGAGCTGCTCGACAGAGTGTTGACCGTGCCAAATTTCATTGAGAAAGATGCATCCGACATCATCTGCACACTAACCAAGACTGTGGAATATTTACATTCCCAGGGGGTAAGATTAATGCAGCAGCTGTTTCTTTAACCCCGAGAAGAGAATGGAATTGTGTCATAGGGCATGTTTTAAATCACAATTAAAAAAACCATCATGTAAAATATAAGCTATGCCTTTTTCAGGTTGTGCATCGGGACTTGAAACCCAGCAACATTCACTACTGTGATGACAGAGGACTTCCAGAATGCATCAGGATATGCGATTTTGGTTTTGCCAAACAGCTGAGAGCTGAAAATGGCTTACTGATGACGCCATGTTACACAGCAACATTCATGGCACCAGAGGTCAAATTCAAGCGGCAATAATTATTCATGAATAAATGAATGATTTTTAAAAAAAAATTATACTGAATTGCCAAACGTATTCGTTCACCTGCCTTGACTTGCACGTGAGTGCACTACTAAGCCTTGTGGAAAGCTCTCTCAGAAAAGCCAAAGTGTCACAATCCGTTACAGCCAGTCAGCACTCCCACCTCTGCCAGTCAATCACGGCGGCCCTGCTGATGACTCACTCATTGCGTGCTGTCACGGGTGCACACCCAGTAGAACAGTAGAACCCAAGTACAGTACACCAACTCATTGGAAATGACTTCGAAAGAACTGTGACAAGTCCAGTCACAAATGGCTGGCACAAAGTTCACTGCAATGTCCAGATACAGTCCAAATAAAGAGCCTTTAAAGATTGGGAAGGGGTTTAGGGGCCAGGTCATGCCATGCTCCATGATTGAAAGGAAGCAGGACAGGGAAACTCACATTTTGTTGTCATTGTTGCAAAATCCCAGCCATTGGGACAGGATAATGTGCTAAGACAGAACTCATGGCCGAAAGGCTAAGGGAATTTCTGGTACGATGACGGTACTGACTGGGTCGGCAATGGAACATCGATCCACGAAGAGGTGTTGGTCGCCCTTGGGTTCTACATATGCGAATGGCATTACAGTCTGGCAATGAGTAAGTCCATCAATAGAGCTTTAAATAGGTGAAGGGGACTGACTGCGAGCGGAAGTCAAGTTAACATGCGAGTTAAAGTAGGTGACCAAATACTTTTGGTTCTAAGGTGAGCATTGTGGTCCTCTATTAAATGTATATTCAAAATGTCCTGTACTCTGTATGCCACCATTTGACAGAATTCGGTCTAGTATTGTGATTTCTTCCAGCTAGAAAGCCCCTGATTAATTCTTTTTGAGTAAGTTAATAAAGTTGAGCTTCTCTGTGTTATTAGTATTTGAATGTGTGAACCTATCATGACATAAATTAAACACGTTGGACATTATTTGGACATGCCCTTTGTGTGTGTGTGTGCAGGTTCTAAAAAAGCAGGGTTATGATGCTGCATGTGACATTTGGAGCTTGGGAATCTTACTGTACACCATGATTGCTGGGTAAGCTTCCAAGTTCATTCAGTGACTTTTATGCGGCTCTATGATTGTGTGTCTACCCCTGTTTTGAATGTCTCTCTGTCCTGAATCACACCTTCCTATTTACTTTTAAGTTTCAGTCCTTTTGCCAGCAGTCCCGAAGACTCGGCAGAAGAAATTCTCGCTCAAATTGGTTGTGGTAAATTCATCATCAGTGGAGGTAACTGGGAGCTGGTGTCAGATGCTGCCAAGGTTCGATACACTTTTGTGCTATTGTACAGATGTAAATAAATACTGCTTGAATTTAGTGGTTCAGTCCAGCATGACAGCGCATGTATGCATGTGTGTTTAACAGGACATTGTGACCAAGATGCTCCATGTGGACCCCCATCAGCGCCTGACTGCCCCCCAGGTATTTGTAATTATATATTTTCACCTACACTACCACCAAATAAAATAACAATGATAGAAACAAGTTTCACCAAAAAAAAAAAAAAATCTCTGATAATAAGGTCAACTGAGCATTAACTTTTAAAGACAGATTTTTCCCCCCCTCAGTGGTGTGCAGAATATTGTGACTGTATAGGACGTTTTGTCATCTTGTATAAGAAGTAAAAGCATTGAGAATGCTTAATATTTTCTCTTCCCATTATTTACACGCGCATCTTTGTTGGTTGGCGAATACGGCCTTGGCATTACCATACGATTTGTTTTTGTTCTTTTAAGGTCCTTCGCCATCCCTGGATTGTGGGGAGAGACCAGCTCTCTGATACAGTCCTCACAAGACAAGATATGCTCACTGTCAAGGTAGGCCTTATTTTATGTGCTCTCCTTACCTCTTAATAACAGCCAAGTTCTGCTTCAAACATCAGGTCAGACTATACCAGTCTACCGTTTTTTGTGTGTGTGTGTCAGGCTGCGAATTTAATGACAAATACACCACTCTGTTTGGCTCATAAATGTGTAAAGCTAAGTGTAATGTCAGTGCTTCACCAGCAATCAACCTCATCGCACGTCACTGCCAATTTACACGAATCACATGTCCTCTAGGTGGCGGTGTTTCTACATATTGAGTTGTTTTGTTTTTCCTTTTAAAACGTGTTTTCTTTATGTCCACCAGGGGGCGCTGTCCGCCACCTATTCGGCCTTGAGGCGCTGTACTCCAGCTCCGCTCTTAGAACCCGTTAAGTCCTCCAGCTTGGCCCAGCGGAGGGAATTGAAGAAAGTTGGGAGTACAGTCATTAATTCAGACCTTAAAGAAAAAGGGTAGATAAAGCAGACGAATCTGATTTGTAATAAGAAAAATAATTCTTTCACACATGCCTCTGGAATTAGATATCTAAAATTCTGGTTCCAAATTGTAAAGTTGCAGTGGCCTTTATCAGATGCAGCGGTTTGCGCTCAATTGCCATTTAAAAAAAAGGACACACACTGGACTCTCCCTAAGGTACAAATGCACAACGTAATGAGAAACACTGCTGAATTGCATCATACTGAGAGATGTTTCAAATATTGTCGATACCTTCCAGCAAGTATGTGGTTAAAGAGTGGGGGATTGATGTCGAAATGATGCATCTGTACCTTATACGCGTCCAGTGAAAGCAATAACAGTTTTGAGTATATTTCCTCATAATTAAGACCAACTGACAGTGACTGCATGGTTGAAGACTCCAAGTCATGGTTTCCTCACTTTGGCATACCGGGTTTCAAAAACACATTTCCTAGAACATCTCTTCAATGTGAATGTTTTATGTTTGCTTAGTCTTCTATGGCTCAGCATTAAAACCTGTAGTGAGATGCAGCTTATTCGTCATCCAAAATCGGGTTCAGCAGATGGTAGACAGAACCACGAAAAAGTATTCAGCTTTTTCCATTCTTATTCACTCACTCAAATCCACATGCTTTTCTTCTTTATGTGTGTATATAATTCCAAAGTGAACTGAGTTAACGACACCAGTGCAGTCACAACAAGCTCATACCATTTGATGGTGTGTGCGTGTTTATGGTTGGCCTCCTTAGCTGCATCTTAGGACCCTTACAGTCCCAAATAAAAAAAGACTTCCAAGTATCCGCTGATGTCTTATGGACCAATTAGCTGTGAAAATATTCCATTAATCCAGCCGTGTCGTGTTCCTTTATGACAACGTTATTTGGCTTACAAGTCGTCATTGTTAGCATGGCTCGACAGTGAACACCACACCCATAGCGACCCTTTTTAGAACGAATAACCCTGCAATTATTCTGTGTGTGATCCGCTATGGCTGCCATTCAGGCTTCTGTTTTTGCTTGTAGCTTTGAAAGCTAACTCAATAATTGCTGCAGCACTGAGTGTAAATAATCCGCTGTATTAAGGCAATCACAAATGCGAGGTAAGATTGAAGCAGTTTTTGAAAATGAGAAGCCCCCTTTGCTGTGCAATGTGTCAACCAGAAAGTAGTTCAAGAGCCACGCAATAATACTCTCATGTGTAACCGAATACAATCGTTGTGATGAAGCATTGCTGTTGCATTCACATTATTTTCACGAAACACCCACTTATTAGGTTCACCAGCACAACTTAATGAGATCCCAAAAGAAGAAAAGAAATAAAAGAGGTGAACCAAAAATTGTCATTTTACTTTTGTCAGTAATAAACAATAATACCTAATATTATTTATCATAGAGGTATTCTTTGGACATTATGATGATTATTGCTGCAGTCCGCGATGGTGCAAAACTGCTATGCATTAAAATTAGATATACCGCAGTACGCATGTAGCTTTGGAGCTCTGGGATTGGATGTCGTTAGATTGCGCCGGTGTACCACATGTACCCAAATTTAGTGATTCATCTGAATAAACGCATTTCCACTGCACAGTTGAGTCAGGTAGCATAAAGCTGGTTATGACTGATATGTTGATACGTTTTAATGATCAAGACATGTTTGAGGTAATGCTGTGAAGATGGTGCTGTTTATTTATGTAGACTGCACCTGGTGTTGCACTAAATCACCTGGCCAAGGTTCAGTTGTTATTAATGTCATGTGTAACAAGGAGCAAGCTTGGAGACTGTAAATATTGTGTGTGCAAACTGTACATATTGTATCATTCATCCATTTATGGGTGCAGATACCATCTATACCGGGCTAATCATCTAAATGGTTGGTTAATATGCCAAAGTTTTACAAATAAAAGCTAACATTACAGACAGTGGTATTCTTCCTCTCTGTGAGCCTTCAGATGGACTTGTGGGTTTGTATGGTGAGTGTAACAGCCGTTTTAAAAATGGACACTTAATTGTTGAAATTCAATCCATCATATACCTGTATATATATAATTAAAAGAAAATTGATTTAGTGTACATAGGCCTCCTCACAGAAATTGGGGGTACAACAATGTCACTAAAATAACTGATGAGGATGGAATTTGCCATCATGAATATTGGCAAGCCACACAATTTGTGGGAGAACATCTTTCAGACAGCCAAATGTGAGCAAGTGACATCATCTGATTGATATTTGAAGTGTACGAAATAAAGAACACCCTACAGTCTGAATCATTGGTGCAGTCAATGGCTGCATGGATAGACGAGCCTTCTGCGAAGTGCGGAGCAGGGCCAGGTGTGTTCTGGGACTGCCTAGTTACATCCGGCACCGGGTATCTTCAGTCTGCGCAGGCTACAATGAAATCTGGGCAAAGTGGAGTGTGCTGCCCAGCTCAGCCCAGTGTCAGCAAGGTTTGTCTCAGCAGCACATCAGACAGGATAATGAACCAAAACACAGCTACAAAATGCCGAATAATGGCTAAGGACAAAACATTGGACTCCTCTTAACACAACTGAAATTTCATGGGCAAAGCTGAAACATGATGCCACCTGGAAAACGCACGCTTTCACACCTGAGAAAGTTACTCAAAAGATGTGCGCCACAATACAGCAAATCTACTGGTGCACGTCTCATTGAGAGTCATACAAAGAAGTTCTACAAATCATTTGTTTGAAGCGATTGCAGCAAATTTAAGCAGCACAAATTACCACTACCACTGTATTCTCAAAGAATTTTGAGAACCACAAAAGAAGCTATGCCTGATTTTCAAGAATTAGATTTTCAGTTATTACTCTTGTCATCACATTAATCCCGTGACCGTTGTGTTTTTTTTTAACTTTTAGTGGAAGGGCATCACACATTTTTGTGCACACAAATGTACAAATAAAGGCTCTCCCTGAATAAATATTTGAACCCGAGTAAATCGCCACTGACCATAATACGAGGAAGTAACATACCTGTATTACTGTTTGCCGTCTTTTAGCATGTGGAGCCACTAGATGGCAGCCAATAACACTCCAGCGACCTCATTTCATTTCCTTGCACTTTTCACTTCAATGCCAAGATCCATTAAAAAAAAAAAACAGACACACACAAGAAGAAAGTCTTTAATTTGTATCAACCACCAGGCTCGCACTTGCTTCCATAAAAGCTTTTAGCAGGCTCTGAGCTGATGTGGCAGGTGGGTGTGCCTGGCTCATCAGGCCTGACATTTAGGGGCTGTAGTGCTCCGAGCGAACGGGAGTGGAGGATATGAGTAGATAGCGATGACAAGGCCCCCTGCGAGGATGATTGCAGTGGAGTGACAAGGGGAGAGCAAACAACAGAAGGTGTCGTCAGGCGATGGGGATAAAAGGCAAAAAGAAGGGAAAAGGAGCTTGGACAAAAACAAAAACTTTCAACCTGCAATTAGTCCAAGTGCAATGCCTTTCATACTTTCTACGTTAATTCCATCTTTATCTGTATCTGACATAATCTGGTTAAAAGCGCTCTGCACTTAATTTGCTTCCCTTACGGTTCAGGCCTCGAATCCTGACTGTTTTGCCCAAAACTCAAATGACAACACTCACAGCACTTTCGCAACATAATGATCCAAATGTGGATGCTTTATGTCATCTGAATTGATATTCCTCTCACTGGTTGTGCTATACAGACTGCGACTTGATGTTTTGATGCTGCACAGACCAGCCGCACATATAAAGCATGCTACATCGTAATTTTTAATTAATCTATTTCGAAAATATGAAAGGTCCGACAAGTGACAACGAAAAAAAATAATTCTTACTGCTCTTATAGTGTATGTACTAACACAGCACGACACACTCATAAAGTCAAAAGAAGTATATCGAAGTATACTTTTGGAAGAAGCTTTTAATCGAAGCCTCGTGTCAAACTTAAGGCTCGGGGGCCAGATCCGGCCCACCAGGTCATTTTACATGTCCCGCAAAAGCAAATCACGTGTGTCAACTTGCATGATCCTTGCTAAAATGTGCACCAAAATGTCAACTTGTCATGTGTAATAAATAAGAAATGAGATTTTGCAATCATTTTGCTATCCTGTTTCCACTCACTTGAACAAATTATTATAGTTGACTCATTTCAAAACGAGTAATCCAATCATTTGTTGTGTACAACTAATGATGCGATAAGACAATTGAAAATGTTTGTGGTTTCAACGGCCCTCCGAGGGAAGACGTAACTCCGAAGTGGCCCGCGACAGAAATGAGTTTGACACCCCTGTTCTAAGCTGATTGTTTTTACAAGTTAAGGTAGCGTTTTGGAGAGTAAGCTCAAAGGAATAACAAAATGTTCTTGTAAATTGTGTATTCTTAGGTAGATGATTCTTAAAGGTGGCTTCATGAAGATATAACGCATTTCAAGCTGCAAACATTTATCACATGGCAGAATTTCTTGCTTGCAACAAACGTTTAGGGGTTTTTTTTTTCATTTTCTGAACATTTTTTTTTGTTTTAAGACCTGTTGTAATCTTTCAGGGGCTACAATTATAGGCTACTTTTGAGTTTCCTAGCCTTGCAAATTTTTCATACCTCCAGGGCAATTTTTTTTTCACTCAAAATAAGACAATCTTACTCATTTTGATTTTATGTATGGATTTTTTTTTTTTTTGGTTTAATATTCCAGTGTAAAAAAACGTGTGCTTTTTGAAAGGTATGGAGACCACCTATGGCAGCAGCTAAACACACACACACACACACACACACACACACACACACACACACACACACACACACACACACAAAGAAACAGTGCTAAGACATCCTGTGGCACTAAAGTCAGCCACTCGGACATTCACGGAATCAGACGTACAAATCTGCAACAGACGGCCGGTGACAAAGAGATTATCACCGTGACAGGAGAAGTGTGTGCAGCTGTGGGTGGTGGTGGAGTGTACAACAGACGGGTGGGGGTGGGGAACCTTAGTCTTTGTACATCATTACATTGGACTCTTCGATCACAACCAGATCCACGTTCAAAGTTGTTGAAACAAGCTGAGACACTAGTGGCCGACTTCATATTCAGAAGTCCATTAGAACTCCACTAAAATGGCACGACATTGCTAGAGACTGCAGTACAAAAGAACCAAACTAGAATAAAGAAGTGTCACAATGACAGGTGCACAAAATTAAAAAGATGTATTCCTCTTATAATTCTAATAATGTGATAATGCAAGTTGTGTTTCTGTAACTACAGCGGACGTTTATAAGTCAAACACCTCAAAAGAAATACAATTAGGGTTTTAACCAAGATTTTCCAGGAAAAAAAAAAAGTCTAAAAATTTCAAATTCAAATCCTTTCACTTTTTAAAGAAAACGTATGATTCACTGCAATTGCAGCACCACCTACGAAACACGACAGGCCCTGATTTCATGCCCAGTGCAAGTCCAGCACAAAGTGTAGTCAAACTAACGCATGGGTGGAGTTTTCTTTCTTTTGATATTTTCATAGATGGGCGCCGGTAGAAAGGAAAGGGGCGTTTGCGCCATTGTGCAACTTGTGTGTGGGAACACATAACCAATAGAACGTTCCCCTCATTCCTTTAAATTCAATGCGGAAGTGGAAGCAGACGCACTGGACTCCATGCCGGAGAGTGGTGCCAGGAGGTGTCAATTTGAGTCTTGAAAAGTTCTTTCGATACTGTATTTGTGTACTGTGATTGGCTGGGGAGCAGTTTAGGATGGAAAGTCAACTGGGATAGATTCCCACACACCCCAACGTGGATGCGCCTCATGAAAAAAAAAAAAAAATGGATGGATGGCTTGCCTGAAGTTTAATATTTCTGCACAAATAATGATACTATCTCACAGCCGAAATACACGAGTACTCACCAGTCAGAGGATAAGTGACGCTGTGCAGAAAGTCAATTAATGTTTTCAGTGGTAAGGCCCCCCTCCTCACCTTTCCTCCACCTAGCTTAAAAGCTTCATTTGCCTCCTATGGAGAAAAGATACAAACACCATTAGTGAGATGATGGCAGTATGGAGAAAGGAGCATCTCACAGTTGACTGAGCTGAGACAGTATAGTACTCACACACACACCTCCCAAAAAGTGTTTGGACAAAAATAGGTGACAGCATCTTCTGCATGGGTGACCTCGAAAAGGTTCTGACTTGATTATAAAAGGTGTGCAACTTTAAAAGCGGAAGTCTGCTTGGAGGCTCTGAAGGGTGGCAGAAAGGTGGGCTTAAGTTTAGATTTGGAGTTTAGTGCTGGGGTTTTATGCGGGGAGACCATTATGTCCATATTCGAGCCCCCCGCCACCACCACCATCTGCATGTGTCACATGTGACCCCAGCTAGATAAATGGTACTCGTGTGTTTACGTGCACACGTTTGGGCGTGTGAAATGCCACTGAGCATACAGGCTCTGCTTGACTGAGCTCGGCGAGCTATCAGAGCACAATTGGGGGTCTCTCTGTGTGAAAGAGGTCAATACACACACACACAACTAAAAAGGAAGTTTGGATGAACACGCATGAACCCTCTAATATAATCAAAGGCTATGCAAATGAATTTTCCTTCGCAAAAGCATGGATGCTAGCCTTGACTGCAGTATTTATGTGGTTGTTGATTGACATTTCAAATCCAGAACTTTTAAAGCTGTGCGCAAACACTGAATGTGCAAAGGTTTCTGGTGTCCCTGCTGTTGTCAACACATGGAGCTTTAGTTAGGCGAACAACGGTACAGCTGGAAAAAGGTCAAACTTGAGTGGTGGGCAGCGGGGGCACAGGTACGCTGGGCTGGAAACATCAATGGCTGGCCCAAAACATGAATACTTGTATTTGAATGAAAAGTTGAAGACAGTAAAGAGAGAGGGAACATTACATAGAGTAACCATGAGCAGCCTACGATTGTACAATCTGGAACTATCATTTGAGAAGCAAATACATCTCTAAAGTTGCAACAAAACTTCAGAGTTCAAACAGTCGTGTGTGCTTAGCGGCATTTTTTGAACAACCACGCCTCAGAAACATCAGCATTAATGTGACTTCAAAGACTCCACCACCACCACGCAAGACCTCATTTTATGTCACAGTTCAGGCGCACAATTAGCAGTTCAAACATGAGGTGCATATGCAAGAAAAATTCCTTCTGTTCTGTTGTACACGATACACTATAACTGCAAGCTCACATTTTTCTTGTTGTCGCAATATGGTTGAGGGAGAAGGGAAGATGGGAATGGCCAGATGCAGAAAACGGCATACTATTAGTACCTTGATCTGTGTGTTTGATAGCTCCTACAATGGCTGCAGAGGTGGCAAAAATATTCTCACTCTGTACTTAAGTATTGATACAATTCCTTTATTTATTTTTTCAAATAAAACTCTGAAAAATACATAGGTACAAATTTAAAATCATATTTGCAGTGCTTGCTGTCAATGAAAATAATTTTGCTCCACTGCAGTCGTTACTGCTTCCTGGTTGCCATTGGTAGGTTCACACTGAATAATGTTTTAGGAATCTAATAACACAGGATCAGACAAAGTGTGATGACAAAAATATCTAAAAGAAAATCACACCGATTAAACTGAAATCGCTGGCCACAAGGTTCCCCCGAAAAACAATGCATGAAACCAAAAATGCTTGCAAAGGCAAAGTACAATAGAACACCAAGAACACGCGAACGAAACATCCCAAAGTCCAATTACACAAAAACAAGAGCAATACAGTACTAAAAACACAAAAGCACTTACAATGATCAGTGAACAAAACAAGAGCAACTATGAATGGTATCGAGGGGTCTAGAAAAATCACAGTTAAAGCACAACAGCATGCGAGTCCTTAAATACAGAGCCAGGCTTAATGAGGAAACGAGGCACAGGTGCGCCTGCCGGAGGGATCCGCCCTTCTCTCCAGCTGGAGCTGGAGCACAATCAAGACAGAACATGACAAACGTTGACTAAAATTCTTGCTGATTTCAGTCAGTCAATGCAGATCTCAACCAACTCTCTTTATTTATCTTTTCCCCCCGCAATGGTCATCCATGTTGACTAAAATTCTTGCTGATTTCAGTCAGTCAATCCAGATCTCAACCAACTCTCTTTATTTATTTTTTTCCCCCCAATGGTCATCCACGGAGGTTTAAGTTGCGAGTTACAAGTCTGTTGTGACAAAGTAAGGAGCAGCAAGTAGGCCAACAGGTCGCTGTTTTCAAATGCAAATGTTTTCAGTCTCTACTCAAGTAAAGTACAGATACCGCAACAACCTACTTCAGCACAGCAGCAAAATATTTGTATTTCATTACTTCGCAACACGCTGTGGGAAGATGGATTGGTTTGAGGCCAGCGTTTGCTGGTTTGCTCTCATGATGTGTAAACAAACATTTTGTCCCAGTTAGCTCGGTCCCAGTCGGACCAAACATATTTGGCATTGTTCCACTGATGCTGGTGGTGCGTGCATTTGGGCCACAGCGGTAAACATACTGTACATGCACATATTGTACGTGGAATAGGCTGGCATATGTTTGCGCTGCAGCCAGGGGGATAGCATTCTGCTGCATACACTGGGCCTGTCTGCCTGGTGTGCCCCTTTCTGCACCAGTAGAGCTGGCACATCCTGCTGCCTCTGCCCAGCGCTCTCGCGGGGCGCCAGCTGGGCGCAACCAGGAGAGGCCCTGCAGAGAGAGGAGGCAGGTCAGCTGTGACTGCGGGTCACACGCAGAAGGACAAATGTTTGCACCTTGGTTTAGAGGCGTAGAGCAGGATTGCAAAATGTCGCAAAAAGACCTCTCCCACCTTATTTAGAGTGTGAGGCAGGACTGACAGTCAGTCACAGAGCTGACACACACTGAAGAGACACTATGCAGATAGACAGAGGGATATTTTTCAGTTTCAGAAAACTTTATTTATCCCCGTGGGGCAATTAGAGTATTCACAGCAGCAAAGGAGCCGCTGGAAAGGCAGCCACTCTCGCGGCGTCATCCTGAAGTCAAAATAACAAAAATAACACGACACATAGGACACAGACAGTTGTGCAATCTTCATGCAATCAGATATGCAAATCATTATAACGCTATTAATCTGACACTGAAACATTTGAGTTTAATTTGTTCTGTGACCCTGGTTGGAAGTCATCTTACTCCCTTGTGTTGAAGCCCGATTCCCACGCCCCCTCACCCCAAGAGAAAACACACCAGCACACATTTAGTAACTTTTTAAAAAATAAAAATATCAATCCATAATCATGCAGAAAGTCATACTTGATGTACATTTGATGATGAAACAGAAGATGGTCACAACCAAACTGCAGGAATATTAGTCCCTATAAAGAGTATATTGCAAATTTCCCCAGTGTGGGACAAATAAAGGTTATCTTATCCTATTTTATGCCCGGGAGTATTTTTATATTATCTGTCTACATGTGTTGCTCCACCCTCTGTTCAAATACCTGTTGCACCACAAGTCATAACACAATGCTCACGAAGCTAAAAGAACATATCTGCATGTGTATAAATCTATGAAAGAGAAATACAACATGCATGTGCATGTGAATGTGGTGGACACAATATGTTGACAAATGCACATTACACAAATGAGACAAGACCACACGGTTTGGAAATTGTGAAAAACATTTGAGCAAGAAATGTGATTAAAATATGAAATTATCTCAAATGAATTCGGAACACCCTCTATTTTGGAATGGAATGAAATGGATCTTTACTGTCACTGCGCATGCAATGACATGATGACTTGCTTCACTTATATGAGAGAGGCAAAGTAATATAAACACCAACGGTGCTGTTTATTGTAATTCTACAACCACAGTCACTAGAATGGCACAGAGTACAATTCCACATCTCCACCAGGCCTTAACAATTCTAAACAAGTCACTCATTTGTCTTAAAGGGGAAGTCAAGTCAAAATGTTTCTTCACAATATGTTCTCTGCATCCCCATTTGTCTAATCATAGTAGTTTGATTAATACGTGGAATATGGATTAAGCAGCAAAATGCACCTGTTTTATCCATATCAGGAGGTGGCCACTTGCTGTGAACTGCAAATGACATCACAGTTGCTCAGGGTTCAGGTAATGATCAAGTTTGAACAAAACTCACTTAGGATGGCTTCCTACTTAATTCTCACTGGAATGTATTGCTAATGTCTCATATTCCCAACAAACTGGAATAAAGTCAGTCACAAATAAGCAGAACGGACTTAGACAGAGAAGCAAGGACTCTTAAATTAATTCAATTTATTTCACAGCCTAAAATGTGATTAATCTGTTCAGTGACAGGAGAATATAATCATCAAAAGTTAGTCACAACAAATATAGCAGGCTGCTAATGTTACGCATCTGTTCTAATCTTACTGGCTTTTTGGAGACCACCTGGTCCCCCAGCTCCTCCTTTGCTCCTCAGTGTTGTTCAAACCCGACAGAGGTACGTTCACATCGTAGGGCCTCGGGGCCACCCTCTAAGCTCAGGAATAAACGGGGAAGGCATTACACCATGAGAGCGTAAGGGGCCTGAACACACCCTCGCCCACCTCTCCTCCTCCCGCTACAGACACGGTGCAAGCACCCCACCTCGGCAGCGCGCCGTGCACGGGCGCTGGCTCTCTGGTTCGGGCAGCCTGGCACAGCTGCACCGGGAGCCGTGCTGTCACTAGCAGTTAGGGTGACAGCCACTCACACTTCATAATGTCCCTCTCACAGGTCAGCGAGCGACAAGCTGGGTCACCTCGCTCCAGCAGGCAGCCCCAGGGGGAGCAGAATGCACCCCACCTCCACCACCAACATCACTACTGCCTCCCCCCCATCATACCCCCCCCCCCAGTATCATCCACCCAGACAAGAGGGAACAGGTGGAGGAGAAAGGTGTATTGGAGTTGGTGGAGTCTCTCAGTATGAGATCAGGGTCAAGTCTAGTCTAGGGTGCACATTGCAACACCATTGATGGCTGTTCGTCTGGGCTGCTTACCTGGTCCAAGACCTTATAAGGGATGATGATGTTGAGCAAGTCCAGGATATATGCAGCGTATCCATTTACTTTGCGTGATAGGTTGGGTACACCCTGGACTGCTCACCAGACAATCCATCCATTATCTGATCCGCTTATCCTCACGAGGGTCGCGGGCGTGGTGGACCCTATCCCAGCTATCTACCGCCAGTAACCCTGAATTGGTAGCCAGCCAGTCGCAGGCCACACACCCAAGACAAACAGCATTTGCTCTCACAACCATTCACACTCACAATCACACCTAGAGACAATTTAGAGTGTTCCATTAACCTGCCATGCATGTTTTTGGAATTTGGAAGTAAATCAGACTACCCAGAGAAAACCCACACAGGCACAAGGAGAACATGCATACTGATTCACATTGATCTCTGATGTGCTCTTACGACTCTAAGCCTTTGAGAGACTTGTTATTCTCTTCATTTCAAAACATGTTTTGATCTTTCCAATAGCAATAAGAATGCACCATACGCTCATCATGACTTCTGCCCGACTGTCAATATTGAGCATTTCCTCTATTCTCGACTTCATGGTGCAGTACAGGGTGACAGTAGCACGCTGACGTCATTGCCTCGAAAAGGGCTCTCCCTAATTGGTTTGTTTTTGAACCGTCCACCCAAATATGTCATGTCAATAAACTTTCATGGCCTTGAAAAAAGCTCGTGTCTTTAATAACAAAAGCCATTTGAAAAAGAATTTCATATCTTGAGAAATAAATCAGTACAAAGAGGAACTCCAGTCACAAACAACTATTTGTGCAATAGTTTGCGAGTTCGCACGCTCACCAAACGTCAAGTTAAGCATGTAATTTGAGGACATGGAAGCTAATTGGACGCAATGGCTGCATTTGGCTTCAGCTGTGAGCGAAAGGCCCTCACACCTCTTTCGCGTTATTCAAACAGTCACACCCTGAGAGCGCTGCTTAATTCAGTGAAGGTGCGCACACAGCCACTGAACAATGTGTAGCAATTAATTGCGCCTGCCCTCCCACATCTGGCGCTGCGGCGTGACCCCGCCTTTGCTGTGCCCCCGTGTCGCCCAGGCCGCTGGCAATTTCACACGTAGAGGACCCCAATGAAACGTGAAAAGAATACGTGGCTTTGTTAAATTGCATTAAAATGTTTAAAACAGTAGAGCTGTGCCTCGGCTCCCGTCTCATTTGAGAGGAAACAAAGCAGGAAGTGAAGCCAATCACTTACACCACGCGCACACACGATCCGTTTCCATGAGGGGAACATTGCATCATCATAATGTCAACAATAATAAAATTGCACATCAGGACAAGGATGAACTTGATGCTTGGAGTCACAACTGAGCCGATGTGGGTCATAACCAGCTGCATTTACTTTGTTACAAATACTTAAGTAACGTTTGGAATAAAGTACACTGGTCAGATTAGTTTTAATGCAAGATTTTTTTTTCCTTTTACTTCAGTATTTATGGAAGGAAGAAACCCAACTTTTATTCCATTACATTGAGCAACTTGCAGTTTTAGCTATAGGTATGTGTTCATATAAGTACAATATCATGAAATGTACATGTAATTATATAATTAATCACGTCTGCCTACAGCGCCGAGCGCCCTATTATGCTCCTTCAAACAAAGATATTTAATTTCAGATCATCTATTGTGGCTAAAGATGCAAGCCTGATTTTCGGTTATTTTATTTTGAAATATATATTCTTTTAACCCTTTCATGCACCCTCTAACCTGATAACATGATAAGATCAAAGGGATACAGATGGGCAATGATTGAATTTGCATATTCCTAATTAATGTTTTGTCTGTTTAATGTAGATGTGCTATTTAAAACATGAATAAATCAGAAGTTACTCAGGACAAGAGTAGTTTTTTTTTTTTTCCACATAATAGCGTACTTGTTTGAGGACAAATTTTGTATCTTCTACCCACCTCTGCACCAGAAGATTTGCAGGTTTT